CATTCCTTTTGAGCTCCTCACTTCTTTCCGGCTTCGCATTTCTTAGCCTTAGACCTCATAATGAATAAGGTTGATGCACTACTTCGCACTCCGTTTTCGCAGCTGCCGCTGGAACAAAAATTAGAGGTACAACGTCTTGGGCCTTATTAACCAAAAAATTGTTCACTGGAACAATCCCATGACGGAGGAAAGCGTCGGCGTACATTCTGCGCAGAAACTTGGTATAAAAAACACGAATGGTTGTGTTACAGCGAGGACAAAAATGAACTTTTTTGTTTTTATTGCCTACTTTTTGCTACCGCTAAATTGATAGCTCAAACTTATGACGGCGCGGCAGTCATGAGTGGGTCGAAACATGGTGTTCAAGTTTATATAAAAGAAGATTTTCCTCATGCGCATTTTTTACATTGTTATGCACACCAATTTAACCTCGTTATTAAAAATATGTGTCTTGATACCCCTCTCGTCCGTATATTTTTTGCAAATGTTTCGGGGTTTTCTTCATTTTTTTCCGTTTCGCCGAAGCGCTCTGACCTCCTTCGCCAGATATGTAGCCGCCGTCTCCCAGCTTGTGCACCAACACGTTGGAACTTGCGATCACGCGTGGTGCAGGGCGTGTCCGAAATTAGGTCTGAGCTCATTGAGTGTTTCAATGGCATTCAGAGCTCTCCGGTTTGGGACGAACGCTCTGTGAGGGAGGCGGTAGGTCTAAAGCGTCTGCTAGAAGATGGTGAGTTTTCATTTTTTTTCACTTTTTTCTCCACAATATTCTATCACGTGGATGTATTATACGGCGCATTGCAGTCAAGGCTAATGGATGGAGCGTCTGTGCAGTCGTGTATTTCAGACTTCTGCGATGCTGTACCTCGTATCCGGGAAACAATAAAATACGACGACACATGGAGTGCTTCTTTACGCCGCGGGCAAACAACGCAGCGTTTGATTTTGTCTGCAAAGGAATGCTGTGACATTCTGGTGAATCAAATAGGCGATCGTCTGCGCACTGAACACCTTGCCGCGTTCTCTTTGATGAACCCCAAAAAAATATTCAAAATTTGCACGTCAATTTCCCATCCATTTGTTGGCTACTGTCTCCAAATTTTACCCCATGATAAACGTGGGTAAATTGGAAAATGAATTGCGATGTATATACACCAATCAAATTTTTTTGAACATCACATCAACTTGCGCGCTCTATGGGTTCCTCATAGATAACACTCTAGTAACTACCTTTGCGGCGTCTGCAAAATTTCTGGACATCATTTTGACGACGCCTATTTCTTCCGCCGACGCAGAGCGAACATTCAGCACGCTGAAGCGTATTAAAACGTATCTCAGAAACACAATGAAGCAAGATAGATTAAATTCCTTGGCTGTTTTATCCATTCACAGAGACGTTATTTCTGGGATGCATGACTTTAATCAGCGCGTTATTGAGCATTTTGCTTCCAAGAAACCGCGGCGTGTTGCATATATGTTCAAGCAGTAGAAGTCTAGCAGCATATATATCTATGAGTGAGCGACGCATGTCCTTATCTTTGCATTACCTTTCCTTTCCTCATAGTAACGTTTTAAACCTTATTTTAGGTTTTGTCTGTCTTTCCCGAAGTTTCTGTTAATATGTCATTGTATTTATCTGGGAAAAGGCCTTTCCTTTTGAAAGAGGTTTCAAAATAAACTATGTCTATATTTATTAATCCCTTGACTTGGACCGGTTTTGAGGACACTTTCTTATCGTTAAAAATGGTCGCTTTTGCCGATTGGTTGTTACCGATGGAAAGGTTTTTATACTCATAAAATGATGGGAGAACTTATAGCGCTCATCCTGTCCCCGTAGATGGGGGTGACTTGGTCCCGCAGTAGCTTGCCCCGGTTGTCAAAATGACCACGCGCCGCCACTGACTTTTCGCAATATTGAAACGCCACATAAAACTATTTCTGATAAACCATGGGAATATTTCATCTTATTGCATTTTATTGTACGTGATGATACCTCGATTGACATTTTGTATAAAATATTAACCTCCCGCATTATAAATCACGAAGCAATATCGAACGGTTAATTAAAATTTCTGATATCTGAGATAACTTTATCTTGTCGGTGGCATTGCGTTGGAAATATAAAAAATTCAATCGTAATACTGTACCCACATTTACCCAATACTAACAAAACACATGTAATATGCGACAACATTTATTTCCAATCACCAAAACTAAGTTTCTAGTATTCTAGTTTAGACTATGATTTTCTAAAATTTCGATGTGTCGTCGTTATTAGCCGTCGCTGGCAAATTACTTGCTCCAAATGTAACATCCACTTTTGTTCTGCTTGAGAACGTATCCATAGTAATGCCTGAAAATATGTGTAAGAATTAATTACTAGTTGTTATTTTAATTACTTATGCCTCGACAGTCCGACCAGGTATGTTGAAGTATAGATCACACTGGCCATCGCTTGACAGTAGCTTGCTGGTTTGTTTGCTTCGCTATGATATTTTAAATTGAACTAAAAAGTATCTCACCTGTAATATTTCAGACTGAACTTATAGCTGCATGTGGTTGGATAAACAATCCTCCACTGGAACGACGAGCAATTCATAACAGGAAGAGTAAACTTGACAGCATAATTGCATTTGTATCCACAGGCGTAATGTTGTTCAAGTTTTGGAATCATATCATTCCAGTATTGGTCGAACTCATCGAGAATTGCGAGATATTGACTGTTGACCTTGCTTTTGTATGCACCGAAGAGATCAGATACAGCTCCTTCAAACTCTTCACCAAAGTAGAAAGCCAACATCTTTTTGTATTGATTATTCTTCATTTTAGAAACCTGGATGTAAGACAATGTTTTTCGATAAATTGAGTAAATTCAGGAGAACTTAAAGGTTGCAGCATAACCATATAGGAAAGTCGGGATTTTTGTACTGATATTTTGTTTTGCCTTTTTCCTTGAAATAATCCGATTCATGTTTTTGATACAATAATTTGTTTAACTATTTTTGAAACTGTTGAAATTCGTATAAATGAGTGACTACAAGATTGAGTTAAAATTTCAGAACTCCGTCACATTGATTAGTTATCTTAATTTTTAGTCTCAATTATATAATCACCTTGGCCAGACCATTCTTCAAAGCTTCTCTCAATTTGTCTTTCTTCTCATTCAAAGTCTGAGTATGTTTCTTAATTTTCTTCGTTCTTGTGTTGAGGCAAGCTTGATAACGAGCAGTTATTTTTTCAGCCAACTTTTTCAAATTGTTTTCGTATTTTTCTATCCTTTTGACGTAAACCTTTCCCGAAGTATTCAATCGATCGGCCAACATTTTTTCGTAACATTTGAGAGCTTTAGTTTTCTGACTTGCCAGTTTCATTGTGTATGATTCGATTTTACATAATGCCATCTTGCAGAGGCGTCCTTGCCTAAAAGTAGTAAATAGTATTATTAGGCTTTTACCATTCGGTCGAAATACCCCAACGGAAAGCGAAAAAAAAACAGAAATATTCAGGTGATAAGTCAAATTTGTAGTACATTGCCCGAGTTTTGAAACTTTATACCTGACGTAGTATGTTGCTTCCAAAGCCTTGATCAACCACTTATGTCTCTTTGTAACAATCGTTTGATATTCTTCATAATATTTCTTATGAAGTCCCGTCCATTTCAATTCCCATGCCTTGTATGCTTCCTTCGCAACGCTGACTGCGGTTTTTACTTTCTTGGAAAGATCGAACTCGAATTCGGCGGAAGATTTGTTCACAGTTTCTGTGACGAAATAAGATTTTGTTAGAATGAGTATGCTTGATAACTTAAGACCAAGGCTGAGTCGGTGTCTGTGTCTGTGTGTCATAGATTATGCTTTGTATCTTCAGAGCACATAGAATCATAGACGATAGATGGACTAACTCAAGACCAAGGCTGAGGAGTCGGTGTCTGTGTCTGTGTGAGGAGTCTGTGTCGGTATTTGGTATGTGTTTGTTGGAGTCGAAGCTGGAATCGAATTTTCAAACTTTCTGGATTCAAGATTTGGAGTCAGAGTCGAAATTTGAATTCTCCGAAGCCCGAATTTCAGACGTTTCGTAAGAACGAAAGAAATTAAAATTTTGTACAGTAATTTAAAAAAGTTATGTTCATTATGGCTGAGCGTTCCTGGCAATTTATTAAAGAATGATTGCATACGCCAAAGCTTTTAGCCTCAAAATCTGATTCCCCGAGTATTCGGAGCCGGAGTCAACTTTTTCAACTCAGATTCGGAGTCGATTGTTAATGTTCTCCGACTCTACAGCTCTGGTTTGAATTGCATAGCTAACACGAAGAAAAGTATTGCATTTGACTATAGAATTTTAGTGTGCTTAAGATATCTAAATCTAAAATTAAATTTTCAATAAATACCGATATCGCAAGTTTTCAATTTCTTGAATTCAGGCTTCTTCCAGGCATAATATCTATAATTAGCAAACTTGAAGCAACTAATTTTCTTCGTGTATCGGAAAGTCCACCATGTTCCAAGTTTTTTGCTGAAATGAAATATTGTTTTTAATAAGTCTTCGACTTTGAATAAAACTCTTTTTACTTTTCTCACAAGTAATTTGCCAAAGCATACTTACAAGGTATTGCTTGAAAGTGGGAAATCGGAAATTTTTCGCAAAGAACCACTAAGCTCTTAGACTAGCTGTCAGGGAAATTATACTCCTAGTATACTTAATATTGCAATAAATACTAATGAAGCTTGAGTTTGTGTTTATTTTGCTAAAATTCTGCTAGTTGATCAGCAGACAAAAATTGTGAGTCAACTTTAATAAATTTTCCTATCAAACTAACCAGAAAAGTGTTTCAAATTGGCATTAAATATTCTTTAAAACATTGACAAGTTTTACCATGAATTATAATACTTCTTCTTGAAAAAGTTCAAGCATCCAGTGTATGTTGTGCATTGATAAGAGCATGCATATCTTTGAACTATCACATCTTTGAAACCGTTAATTTTGTCCGCGTAGGAATTAAAAGTGACATCAAGTTTGTTTGATAATTTGGTTTTATATTCATTCACAACAGCGTCGACAATTTCTTTTTGCCAGGTTTTTGATCCTAAAAAATCAAAAATATTGTTAAAAATAATGTAAAATGTTAGCGAAACGTAGCGTTAATAATGTTAACTCACCATGCATCTTATATAAAAGACAGCGATAAACTTTAACCTTTTTCTCGTTGAGTTTACTCATAACTTTCTTGAAATGAGCAAAATACTCTTTGATCCGTCCGGTAAGTGCCTTCTTGAATTGAGCAATTTTCTCAGATCGAGTTTGGAAGCATTTTAGTGCTCTGGTTTAATATATGAAGGAAAAGTTATTTCACGTGATTTTACCTTTGTTGTTTTTAAATGAATTTTTATTGTTGTTTAAATTAGCAGAACATACAGAAGTGGAAATTTTCTCAATATATTACAGAAAACATTACGTTGTATCAGTAAAGTTTCTTAAAAAAAGCGTTAAATAATCGAGCTTACGCATTGACGATCCTTCCATGGAAAGCAATCAACTTGTTGTGTCTCTTCTGAATTGCATATTTGTATTTAATAGCGGTGATAGAAGCCATTTTGTCAATTTTTGCTGTGAATGTGGATACAGCTTTATCCTTTTTCTCCGAAACAGCTGCTCTGCGCTCCTCAGGGACGTATCTATATATATAAATACCGAAAAATAAATAGTTTCCTGAATAGAATTAGACGTTAAGAAATTTTCGATGCCAACAAGACTTGGCTTTTAAAATAAAAAAAAAATTTAATTCCATTTCTTAGTTTCGATTTTAATTTTAGTATTATTGCACTGAACCGATGTATGAAAGAAAATTAACATAAAAAATACTTCATAAATTCTATTGTATATTCATTGACTCTATCGGCAAATTTAGTCTTGCAACTCTCCATTCTCAAGTTGAAATCAACAAGCCAAGTATCGTAATGTTCGTTCATCTCCTTCAATATTGCATCTGCCTTTGACTTCAGCTTCTTCTCAAGATTGGTCTTGAATTCGATTTTGGTCATTTCTGTGTTTTTGAGAAAGTAAAATAGAAATGAAGTTACATTGAAAATCGATGGAGGTAATGGAAGGCAACAAATCTGAGAGAGAGAAAAAAAAGAAGGAAGGGAAGAGAGAAACAATGAAAAGAATATGAGTGAGATTTTAAAAAGAAGAGAGTGGCGAACAGAGAGAACTTTTTAATAAAAACGAGAAAAGAGAAATCTATCGTTCTGAAATGCAAAGGTATTAATGTCTTGAAGAAATGAATAATTATTACCTTGAAAATCATCTGTTCCACATTTAGTTCCAGGATAAGAACTCATCACGGAAGAATAATATTTGGTAGTGAACCAGGAGGTGGAAAAATGAACACGAAACTTGAGACATGCCGAAGTAGGGAAGACGTAGAATCTCCTGATGGAATATTTAGTGTAACCACATGGATGTTGAACATAGGAGGCTGCGTTGGCAATCTGTATAAAGAAAATAGGTTGCGTGATATTATAGACTGTAGAGCAAAGATTTTACCAAATTCGAATTCAAATAGATATAGTAAAATAGACTTACCGCCAGGCAAGCCAGAAGTAAGATCAGGATCCTCATTTTGTGTCTTGTTTCGAAGTTCTTCGAGTTGAGACTGATTCGATTCATGTTTCCGTGGCCTATTTATACCCCGAAACAGAATATCTTGAACCGTACTGGCGCCGATAAAACACTCCTGGTTGCTATTTTGTCGTTCAAAACATGCATAATCATCCTACTCGAATAAACTTATGGATTCCGTAATTTCGATATGTGTATATATTATGAGGCTTTCCCAGTGCAGTTTTGTTGAACGATCAAGTTTTGATAACTCGAGACACGGGAAAGATAATCCATTTGCAGTTCAAACTTGCAATATTAAATCAGCAGATAAGATTCAGAAGTAGGCTTAATACATTTTGCATGGTGATTTCATCTTCTTGTTTTTACAACCCGTTCTCGATTCCTTACTTTTTACATTATTAGTTTTCAATGTGTTCAATGAAACTTATCCTGTTACAATTTTTGTTTTAACTATGCTGTTTTCGATTTCAAACAAAAATCCGAGGAAGACATAAAAAACATTTTATAGCACGAATCCGTGTATTTTGCACCTATGGATTAATGCTTCGATATAGCGTTGAGAGATTTAAATCAGTATCATTATGTCATACTAATGCTGGATAGTAATTACAAGACATCGAAGTGTAGGATTAGATCCCAGACCTGGCGCCGTTTATCTAAATTATGTATGTGGTATCTAAGCAACTTCAGAACATCACATTTTGAAGTGATGCGGTGTGTTTTGAATCCAACTGTTTCGTTGCATTGTAATTGTTCATTCTTGGCATCTCGTTATTTGAATATACACAGAATATCATGCCGAAAAACCATGAAGCTAATGATATAGATATATTCAAATCGTTCAATTCGTTCGTTTATTACTCCAGACCGCTGTGGTCCATATAAAAACAACACAACAAATAAACATAAGCAAAACAAAAATAACGCAATAAATACATAAAATACCTGATATGACAATCAGATTCACAGTAAGTCTCAAAAAAGAGTTATAATATAGCAATTCAAGAGACCAAAAGTGAGGTATAGAATCTAAGGTAGCCCGTGACAAACAGTATCTGGGAATCAAATAATGATTGTGTAGATTTATATATATAGATATATATAGATTTCAAGACTCTTCATTTCGTTATATATTATAAATCTCTATCCAGATATGAACTAGATATGGTGAATATGTCGAATATGTCGTTTGTGAATTTATTATACTTAATATCATCATTTAAAAGGTTTCACGAATGTTTTATGTGTACATAGCCATGGCTACATAAATGTTCTGTACGTACATGTGACGTATATATATTTAAAAATCCATATATCCCACAGCCATGAGCCGTTTAAAACTCCGTTTACTTTTTGCATCCTTTCAATGCATAGGAACATTAGGAACTTTTTCTCATCAATAATATATTCTGTAGAGTACATTGATATTTATCTATCTTTATCTAATTATTTATCTAATTTATCTATGGAAATTCCCTTGACCCCGGACTCAGAAAAATACTGTCTATACTTCACCATGGCAAAAATAAATAAAGCAATTACCAGCTGGGGTACACATTTATAATCATCATTCAGATTCAAAATATTTAACTGCCCACAGTTTAACAGTCTCGTTCTATTTAATTAGTCTACCAAAAAAGGTTATTCAAAAAATCTTGTAATCTTAAGAGAGAAATTTTTGATTACTTTTACTTGAAATTTAACGCGAAATTATTTCACTTTATTTCATTCAATTCTATCATTGTTGCGATTGTGAAATTTTTCCCCCTGATTAACGATATAATTCAGACTACGTCTTATTTTCGGGGAAACACGGTTGTCAAAGAAACGCCAAATGAATACGCATTTTGTCACACAGACCAACTTACATTTTTTATTATATGAACAAAACATATTTTTCCGATTATCGTGTTACTATTATGGTACTGATGTGAAAAATTCTTTGTAAATTTTTTTTAGACGACTAATAATCACTGACAATCTGAGTATCGATTTGTATTGCCAGGATAAACTAGCAAAGAGTGCAAAATCTAGAAACATCTGATACTTCTTTGTATTTGATACTTCTTACTTAATCAAACTGTTTCCGACAAGAATAGGAAACTCAAATTTACCAAATCAGAGGAGGTTCAGATGTCAATAAAACAGGAGAGCAATACTCAAATATATGGAGACAAATACCAATCATGAGTACCAGTACGGTAGATTTGGAAGCACCAAGTTAGTAGAGATCGCCGGACAAACAATACGGAGTCGGTCGAGTAATACGAAATAAAAAGTGTTCCCCTTTAGTTAAAATAAAAAGCAAAATATTTCGTAAAATATCGTGCACCATGAAACTCATAACAAATTTCAATGAAGAATATGAAAGTGATACCCAGGCTTCAGCCATATTTGAAAGACTTAATTCGAAAACGATCGGCATATTAGTTCCCGACAAAAAATTTGCTCAACAACAAATATTATCCCCAAAACAAAAGTCATCAGCAAAAACACCAATATGTACATTTCGTTTCCAATAAGCTATCATAAGCCTAGTTCGCTTTTGGTGTTTCCGTTATAAGCGTGTAATTTATTCCCGATGCAGATCTTGTCAACTCCTACTACGTGGTCAGCATCTGCATTTAAAGTGGATTTGGAAAGAAATTGAAAATGAAGAGGAATTTGTGAAGGAGCGTGTAAGAAATTAGTGTGAAATATGTAAAAACTGACAAACTTGGTTTTAACAGAATATATGAAAAGGTAGAAAAGACAAGGAAGTTTATTGAACAGAGTAGTCTAACATAACGTGGACAAAAATAACTTGGCCTATATTTTTCAATTTTGGGAACATTGATGTATGGTAAAATTTAGTAGAGAAATCTAAGAAATGTTATAATATGCTTGTGTAATTAGCTAGATAAATTTGAAAATTTACCTATTTTTGGTATTTTTGATAGCTTAGGAAATGCTTTATAAACAACTGCTATCGGGGGACCTATAACATGCCTAATTCGCGATCCACTTAACTTAAATAATGCGGTGTATTATTGAAAGATGTATTGGGCAAATCCATACTTGAATAAATCCTTCAATGCAAATACAAAATGCGTTTTGAGGAATTGTAATTTTACGAAACGCCGTGAGTCTAATGCATAGAAACCCATCTCCATTTCATTAGGTTAAAAGTAAAGAGAAGAAAACATAGTATACATAAAATATACAAATATCAGTCATTCTCGAGACAATGGCAAAGAGGAGCAAGTAAGTATCAAGCACATGAATATTTATTATTATCACTGGCCACAAAATATTGTCTGAATAAATATTAATAATATCTGCTAGTACCAAAATGAAACTCTAAATGAACACTTCTTCAATTCATGTTTAGTTTTAATGGATGTGCACAGTAAGCTAATTTATACAAAATGATAACTTTCTGTGGAAATCAAGGCAACTTCAAAAATATGGACACAAAATGGATTCTTGCCATGTTTTTACAATATGATATCTGCGTCCCTGATGGTATTTGTGGCTGTGTTCCCGTTATCATATCAAATACACAAAATGAGGAGGTGGGTGCATTAGCAATATAATGATAAATGTTAAGAATTCGAATTGGAAAATAAGCCCTAAAAATCGTTTTTTATGTTATTGCTTTCATATATTAGAATTTATTATGAATGGTGGAACTTGAATTGTTTATGATATTTTACTTTTCAAATTGCGAAAATAAATTATTCTCATAGTTATCAATGTATCAATGAGCTGTGGGTAACAAGTTGGAGGCGATTTGAATTCTTTATTCGATTCGAAATAACCAACCCCAATGACTAGCCACCATATTCAAATATGAGAAGACACATCGTCACGAGGAGAGATGAGGGAATGTGTGACAATATTAATCATCTTCAAAATTAATCACATGGCGTGTCACAGCCGTTAAGTCGAAGGGAATAGTTAACCCGCCATTCGGGTGCGTGTAAAAGCTGGCTAATTTAGAATAATTTTCGCAATATTGAAACGCCACATAAAACAATTTCTGATAAATCATGTGAATATTTCATCTTATTGCATTTTATTGTACGTGATGTTACCTCGATTGACATTTTGTTTAAAGTATTAACCTCCCGCATTATAAATCACGAGGCAATATCGAACGGTTAATTAAAATTTCTGATAGCTGAGATAACTTGAGAGATATCTTGTCGGCGGCATTGCGTTGGGAATATGAAAAATGCATTCGTAATACTGTACCCACATTTACCCAATACTAACAAAACACATGTAATATGCGACAACATTTATTTCAACAATCCCCAAAACTAAGTTTCTAGTATTCTAGTTTAGACTATGAATATCTAAAATTTCGATGTGTCGTCGTTATTAGCCGTCACTTGCAAATTATTTGCTCCAAATGTAACATCTACGTTTGTTCTGCTTGAGAACGTATCCATAGTAATGCCTGAAAATATGTGTAAGAATTAATTACCAGTTGTTATTTTAATTACTTATGACTCGACAGTCCAACTGGTATGTTTAAGTATAGATCACACTGGCCAACGCTCAACAGTAGCCTGCTGTTTGTTCGCTTCGCTATGATATTTATATATATATATCAAACTAAATAAATATCTCACCTGTAATATTTCAGACTGAACTTATAGCTGCATGTGGTTGGATAAACAATCCTCCACTGGAACGACGAGCAATTCATAACAGGAAGAGTAAACTTGACAGCATAATTGCATTTGTATCCACAGGCGTAATGTTGTTCAAGTTTTGGAATCATATCATTCCAGTATTGGTCGAACTCATCGAGAATTGCGAGATATTGACTGTTGACCTTGCTTTCGTATGCACCGAAGAGATCAGATACAGCTCCTTCAAACTCTTCGCCAAAGTAGAAAGCCAACATCTTTTTGTATTGATTAATCTTCATTTTAGAAACCTGGATGTAAGACCATATTTTTCGATAATTTGAGTAAATTCAGGAGAAATCAAAGGTTGCAGCACGACCGGGATTTTTGTACTGATATTTTGTTTTGCCCTTTTCCTTAAAATATTCCGATTCATGTTTTTGATATAATAATTTGTTTAACAATTTTCGAAAATGTTGAAATGAGTGACTAGTGAAATTGAGTTAAAATTTCGGAATTTCGTCACATTGATTAGTTATCATAATTTTTAGTCTCAACAATATAATCACCTTGGTCAGACCATTCTTCAACGCTTCTCTCAATTTGTCTTTCTTCTCATTCAAAGTCTGAGTATGTTTCTCAATTTTCTTCGTTCTTGTGTTGAGGCAAGTTTGATAACGAGCAGTTATTTTTCCAGCCAACTTTTCCAAATTGCTTTCGTATTTTTCTATCCTTTTGATGTATATCTTTCCCGATGTACTCAATCGATCCGCCAACATTTTTTCATAACATTTGAGAGCTTTAGTTTTCTGACTTGCCAATTTCTTTGTGTATGTTTCAATTTTGCACAATGCCATTTTGCAGAGGCGCCCTTGCCTGAAAATAGTAAAAAATAATGTTGCGTTTCAACGATTTTGTTCAAAAAAAAAACCGAAAGTTAACTCAATCGAAAATACAAAAATATAGATGAAGTACAACTTGTGGTGCAATGTAAATTCTAACTTTATACCTGACGTAGTATGTTGCTTCCAAAGCCTTAATCAGCCACATATGTCTCTTTGTAACAATCGTTTGATATTTTTCATAATATTTCTTATGAAGTCCCGTCCATTTCAATTCCCATGTCTTGTATGCTTCTTTTGCAGCGCTGACTGCAGTTTTCACTTTCTTGGTCAAATCGACCTCGAATTCGGCGGTAGATTTGTTCACAGTTTCTGTGACGAAAATAGGTTTTGTTAGAATGAGTATGCTTGATAACTTAAGACCAAGGCTGAGGAGTCGATGTCTATGTGTCTGTGTCTGTGTGAGGAATCTGTGTCGGTATTTGGTATGTTTTTGTTGGAGTCGAAGCTGGAATCGAATTTTCAAACTTTCTGGATTCAAGATTCTGAGGCAGAGTCGAAATTTGAATTCTCCGAAGCCCGAATTTCAGACGTTTCGTAGGAACGAAAGAAATTGAAATTTTGTACAGTAATTTAAAAAAGTTATGTTCATTATGGCTGAGCGTTCCTGGCAATTGCATTTGCATTTGGCTATGGAGTTTTAGTGCGCTTAAGATATCTAAATCTAAAATTGAATTTTCAATAAATACCGATATTGCAAGTTTTCAATTTCTTGAATTCAGGCTTCCTCCAGGCATAATATCTATAATTAGCAAACTTGAAGCAACGAATTTTCTTTGTGTATCGGAAAGTCCACCATGTTCCAAGTTTTTTGCTGAAATAAAATATTGTTTTTAATAAGTCTAAATAAAATAAGTTTGAATAAAACTCTTTTTACTTTTCTCACAAGTAATTTGCCAAAGCATATTTACAAGGCATTGCTTGAAAGTGGGAAATCAGATATTTTTCGCAAAGAACCACTAAGCTCTCAGACTAGCTGCCAGAGAGATTAGTACTCATAGTATACTTAATATTGCAACAAATACTAATGAAGCTTAAGGTTGTGTTTATTCCGCTAAAATTCTGCTAGTGGATCAGCAGACAAAAATTGTAAGTCGACTTTAATAAATTTTCCTATCAAACTAACCGAAAAGGTGTTTCGAATTGGCTTTAAATATTCTTTAAAACGTTGACAAGTCTTACCATGAATTATAATACTTCTTCTTGAAAAAGTTCAAGCATCCAGTGTATGTTGTGCATTGATAAGAGCATGCGTATCTTTGAACTATCACATCTTTGAAACCGTTAATTTTGTCCGCGTAGGAATTAAAAGTGACATCAAGTTTGTTTGTTAATTTGGTTTTATATTCATTCACAACAGCGTCGACAATTTCTTTTTCCCAAGTTTTTGATCCTAAAAAAATCAAAAATATTGGTAAAAAACAATGTAAAATGTCAGCGAATCGCAGCGTTAATAATTTTCAACTCACCATGGATCTTATATAGAAGACAGCGATAAACTTTAACCTTTTTCTCGTTGAGTTTACTCATAACTTTCTTGAAATGAGCAAAATACTCTTCGATCCGTCCGGTAAGTGCTTTCTTGAATTGACCAATTTTCTTAGATCGAGTTTGGAAGCATTTCAGTGCTCTGGATTAATATATGAAAGAAAAATTATTTCAAATGATTCTACCTTTGTTGTTTTTAAATGAATTTTTATTGTTATTTAAATTAGCAGAACATACAAAAGTGGAAATTTTCTTAATATATTACAGAAAACATTACGTTGCATCAGTAAAGTTACTTAAAAAAGCGTTCAATAATCTAGCTTACGCATTGACGATCTTTCCATGGAATACAATCAACTTATTGTGTCTCATCTGAATTGCAGATTTATATTTAGTAGTGGTGGTAGAAGCCATTTTGTCGATTTTTGCTGTGAATGTGAATACAGCTTTATCCTTTTTCTCCGAAACAGCTGCTCTGCGCTCCTCAGTGACGTATCTATACATATGAATACAAAAAAAATAAATAGTTTCCTGAATAGAATTCGACGTTAAGAAATTTTCGATGCCAACAAGACTTGGCTTACAAAAAAAAAAAAATTAAATTCATTTTTTTCTTCCGATTTTAATTTTAGTATTATTGCACTGAACCGATGTTTAAAAGAAAATTAACTTAAAATACTTCAAAAATTCTTTTGTATATTCATTGACTCTATCGGCAAATTTAGTCTTGCAACTCTCCATTCTCAAGTTGAAATCAACAAGCCAAGTATCGTAATGTTCGTTCATCTCCTTCAATATTGCATCTGCCTTTGACTTCAGCTTCTTCTCAAGATTGGTCTTGAATTCGATTTTGGTCATTTCTGTGTTTTTGAGAAAGTAAAATAGAAATGAAGTTATATTGAAAATCGATGGAGGTACTGGAAGGAAACAAATCTGAGAGAGAGAAAAAAAAGAAAGAAGGGAAGAGAGAAACAATGAAAAGAATATGAGAGAGATTTTAAAAAGAAGAGAGTGGCGAACAGAGAGAACTTTTTAATAAAAACGAGAAAAGAGAAATCTATCGTTCTGAAATGCAAAGGTATTAATGTCTTGCAGAAATGAATTATTATTACCTTGAAAATCATCTGTTCCACATTTAGTTCCAGGATAAGAACTCATCACGGAAGAATAATATTTAGTAGTGAACCAGGAGCTGGAAAAATGAACACGAAACTTGAGACATGCCGAAGTAGGGAAGACGTAGAATCTTCTGATGGAATATTTAGTGTAACCACATGGATGTTGAACATAGGAGGCTGCGTTGGCAATCTGTATAAAGAAAATAAGTTGCATGATATTATAGACTGTAGAGCAAATATTTCACCAAATTCGCATCCAACTAGATATAGGAAAATAGACTTACCGCCAGACAAGCCAGAATTAAGATCAGGATCCTCATTTTGTGTCTTGTTTCGAAGTTCTTCGAGTTGAGACTGATTCGATTCATGTTCCCGTGGCCTATTTATACCCCGAAACAGAATATCTTGAACCGTACTGGCGCCGGCAAAACACTCCTGGTTGCTATTTTGTCGTTCAAAACATTCATAAGCATTCTACTTGAAGGAGCTTATGGATTTTAAAATTTTCACATATGTATATATCATGCGATTTTCCAGTGCAATTTCGTTAAGATAATCCATATGCAGTTTGTACTTGCATTATAAAATCAGCGTATAAGAGTCAGAAGTAGGCTTAATATCTTTTGCATAGTGATTGTCTGGTGATATTATCTACTTGTTATTACAACGCGTTTCCGATCCCTATCTTTTTATATCATGATTAGTTTTCAATGTGTTTGAATGAAACTTATCCAGTTACAATTTTTGTTTTAACAGTACTGTTTTCGATTCCAAACAAAAAATCTGAGAAAGAAATATAATCCTTTTTACAACTCGAATCCGTGTATTTTGCACTGACGGTTTACTGCTTCAATACAGCGTTGAGAGATTTGAATTAGTATCATTATGTCATACTAATGCTGTGTTGTAATTACAGCACATCGAAGTATAGGATTAGATCCCAGACCTGACGCCGTTTAGTCAAATTATGTATGTGGTATCTAAGCAACTTCAGAACATCACATTTTAATGTGATGCGAGGTGTTTTCAACCCAACTATTTCGTTGCATTGTAATTGTTCATTCTTGTCATCTCGTTATTTGAATATACACAGAATAGCGTGATGAAAAACCATTGAGATAGTGATACAGATATAGCTTTCAAGACCCTTCATTGCATTATATTTTATAAACTGCTATCCAGATATGAACTAGATATGGTAATGTGCTTGGTGTTTTTAATATACATATTATTATCAAAAGGTTTCACAAATGTTCTATGTGCCTATAGCGATGACTACAAAAATGTTCTGTACTTACATGGGACATAAATTTAAAGAAACACATATTTACCCTGCAGCAGGGGTGCACAACCTGCGGCCGTGCTGGTGTGTGTGTGTGTTACTGCAAAATAATTTATGTTTTATGTTGGCGCTTGACTGTTACGGGAATCGTAGCAGGAAATAAATTATTATCAGTATCATAAAAAAGTAACAGTTGTAAATTTTATTCCATATATCTAAAGCTGGATATCGTCTAAAGAGAAACAGGTCTTCAATTCCAGATGAAATTAGATTTATCTTCGTCGTTTATGTAAAGAAGTTACACTTGTTCGAAACCTGAAAATAATTAAATCACGACCGATACGAAAATTTAAAATGTTCTTTTATATTAATTTAATTGTGTTAGACGTAACTCTAGATTGCGTCGACCTATGACAAAATAAAAGCATCTTTTCTACTCCATTTCTACTGTAAAATATCTGCGGACATTGAAATACGTGATAATCCTATCCGATCATCATACTCCTATATAAAAAATCCGAGTGCGGACGGTGGTTCAAGAATGGGTAAGAAGGTACAACGTGGGCATAAATAAATCGTTTAATATCGGTAATTGTGATATAGCTTCCAGCACAGCAATTTAATGGTTATCCACATTTTTTTTTATCTGTCGCGGAATCCTAAAACAAAAGTCACGGTAGTAAAACTGTGTAACACCGTTTTCAGTTTTGGTATTTACTATCGTAGTTTCAGTCAAAAATTTTAGTTACAAATTCATTCTATTATTATCTTAATTAAGCGTCTCGTCACCGATAATCGCAAAATAACGAGTTTTTCACGCTGGACGGACAGATCCCGGCGGAAAAAAACAATTATTGACGTCTTCAAGACACAAAACGTACTTGTGTAAGATAGGAGACTTGACTTGTGAGATGAAGAGAATTTCCGAAAATATTGTTTACAAACACAATATCGATGTTAACGGCCTAAATGACCACATCAAGTTTACCAAAACAATCAGCGAACTGAATAAAAATAGTCCCGCAAAATTATTGTCAAAAGTAAATTCTTTAATTATTCGTGAAAAGTCCTGTTTTCGATGATCGCTTAGGAACTTTCGCGTTTGTCTGATTAAACGCACAGTTTTGCAAGAAATAAAAACATTTATTTCGATGTCCGCTGCAGCGAAATAATAAGTAATACTTGTGAGATAGAGAGATTCTGTGAGAAGATATTAATCCAATGCCTGCAAAGTAATAAACGCTGATGAAAAATATCAGCAATTATAACGCAAAGTAAAATTTGGTGCGCTCTCAACGACTTTCTTGGCCCCACAGTACTTTCCAGTGGAAGTAAGTGTCGACCCTCAGTAAATAACAACCTCTAAAAAAAATTATATTTTAGATTTGTTTAAATTTTATCATTTCATGAACGTTTTAGACGCAAGTCAATACCATATATATATATCAATAAATACCAATCCTATAATTAATAAATATAGCTCATCAACGATATTCATCTCACTGGCGGCGGTAGACCTTTTACAAAAACGTTATGCGGTCGTCTAAACCAGGGTGGTCCAAGGTTGTCGGCGTCGCGGGCCACACTATCATTTTAGTATTGTTCGCGGGCCACAATAGTGTTAAGAATAAGTAAACAATGCAATACAAAACAAACACTCATTGTCCAAACACATTGGTCATTATTTGTCCTTTATCAAGCTGAAACATGCAAAAAACGCCAAAAAACTCACTTAAACGTGCAAAAGTTTTACTATATATATCTACATTTGATGTGAGACTTCATAACTGACAAAATGCCGTTTCAGTTATCCTATTAAGCAAGCATTGTGATATTTTTCCTCCCATATCTAGTCAAAAGTCTGTTTGAAGTGGTCAGATTTCACTTCAAACTCATGTTTAACGAACAAATAACTGCAGATTGATGGATTACCGAATTTTACCAAATTTTAGATACAGAAGGGTAATTACTAAATTCTCTGACATATAGACAGCATTTTTTGTAATACTGTTTAGGCTGGTTGCAAAAAAACACCCGACAGGAATTATATTGGTCGGCTATTACATTAATATTTAGTTATCAAGCATAGCCAATCTAGGTTAATAGATTCCGTATTCGATTTTTAATTTTTTCATATGAAGCCGATTTTGTTAGCATATAATCCCCACCGAAAATATAGAAACCAGGTAACAATTTAGACTTGCCAAGCACATAATTCAACTTCGTTAGTTGCCTCAGCTAGCGATAACACCAGTCAATTCAATGACATTAGTGATGTAACAATATGTCAGAATATTCTTTTGGTTATTTTTATGACGAAACAACACCAAATGCGAGTTTTATTTAAAAATCTTAATTTTAGGCACCGGGTGTATCTGACAAAGAAGATGCTTTAACATTGCAAGTTTACGAAAAATCAAGCGAATTTGAGAATGTGTGTGTTTTCCTATATCCCTGAGAGACCAATTCTAAAGAATATTTCATTTAAAGTAAAACCTGGCCAAACCCTGGCATTGGTAAGTTTTAAATGTATCCTGGTAAATTATATCGTCACGCTAATAACCGAATTGCGTAAGTCATTTTTGGCGATTTTGAGTTTTTTATAAAATAGGTATTTATGTGATGCTGCGCACCTGTCTGTTAACTCAGATTTTATTTTAAGAATTCCGAAACCCATAAAAATGGAGATTTAGTATGACATGCACATTTGTGAAATTGTTTCGTCATAATGAATTATCATCGTTACCGCAGGACTATTGTGACGTCAAAAAGGCAAAATAGCCTCTGCGAAGTATTTTCGAGTTTTCGCATCTCGGATTCTAGCTTAGCGCGTATTAATTTGAATTTATACTACAGTATAGGAAGGCGTGCACTTGTGATATTCACTGTCCGAGTCCAATTCACCTTGGTTGGCTTTTATTTTGGGTGCATTGCTGTTTTATTCTTTATATTTAATCTTAGTCTTATTTCGGTGGATGTGCAGAACGTGTTATATTGATGAAATATATATTTTTAAACATAAGAAATAATGCAATTGAAACTGATTAGCTATTTTGGGGATTAGACATTGCAGATACTGAGAATTACATTCGTTTCTGGAATGTTTAGTTTTCAGGACTGGTGCATATAGTAAAGTTGCAAATTTGCGTATGTCCACATGTCATAAACACATTTCTGCCTAAGTCACAGTGCGCCATTATGACGTCACTTAACTGCGTCATACAAATTAGCTTAAATCCGGCTACGATCAAAAAATTGAACCATGGCAAATTATTGACTCTCAATGGCATAACAATATTATTAGGAAGTTTTTTACGTTTTTCTCAAAACTGCTAAAAATGACCTACGCAATTCGGTTATTAGCGTGACGATATTATATTTTTATATAGTTGATCAACGTCAAAAAATGATAAAACAACTTGTTGAAAATTCTGGCTCCGGTAAAAGTACTATCATCAGACTTCTTTTACGTCTTTACGATATTCAAACTGGTGTTATCAGAGTTGACGGTATGGACATATCTAAAGTTACATAAAAGTCGTTCCGTCGACACATTGGAGTCGTACCACAAGATGCAGTCCTATTTAATGAAAGTATCAGGTGAGTAATAATGACACTGATTTGATTTGTACGCAACTTATGTCTTTCCGAATTGGGCAATAATTTTATTTTTTATGAGGTGCATTACACAGTATGACCTGTGAATTTGGAGATTTGATTCAGTTATGTTTCGATGAAGGTCACGCAGGGCATAGTTGAGAACCGACATTTGGAAATATATAGTTAAGGAATTACGCTTACGTCATAAAAGGACACAATATATTAATCTGAGCCAACAACTGATGTAGCATAAAAATATAGCTGTGGCGGTGGGGTTAGGAAAAAGCATTTCAAATGTATATTAATAACATATAAAACTTTCAATATCATTTTGGTTCTAATTCTTATTGAAATGGAAAGTAACCAACATTTTTACAATAGCAGGCTTCAACATTAGATACAGCGACAAACGAAAAGAATAAATCTATGCACAGAATCAGTACAGGGAAAACAACTCTTGTTGTCACACACCGACTGCCAAAAAAAATAAAAGCTGATATCATAATTGTAATGAATGAAGGTGAAATCGTAGAAATGGGGAAGTATGATGAGTATTTAAATTTTATATTTATCATATGTTGCTAATAGGAGTCAACTGAAGAATGTGCCCCCCCCCCCATGGGGTACCCAACTGAAGAATCTCCACCCCAAGTTAGACCATCTAACCCTACCAAATAATTAGTACAGGTCAAATGATAGATCAACTGGTATTCACAAGGTCAAATAAAGGATCGACTGATATTATCGTTTTAGTTGGGCAACGGGATCAACTGAAGAATCCCCACCCCAACTGAAGATTCCCGATTTTTTTTCTATAACTTATCCTATGTCGATTTGCACATCCCTTACTATTCTCGCATGTTACGGTAAATGCAACGGATGGTTACAATTTCACAAGGCTCAGTCGCACAAGTCGGCTCTTTATAGTTAGTGTTTCTATGGTAAGGTTTTTTCCACTCAATGAGATAGTTGAATACACCGAAAAAAAATTTGGTTTCAGTGATATTAGCATTTGTACATGTAAATCTGACCATTTTTTCAATCGTTGTAGCTCCTGTTTACCTACGGTTCAAGCGTTATTAAAAAAGTTTACCAATGTAGGTTCGCGTCCCCGCGAGATATCACGTGCTAAAGCATGGCTAAACTTCTCGCCATCATCGGATGGTTCACCTAACCGCTGGCCGGCCAGGGCTTCGTCCACAACTGAACCAACGTGGTGGATACGGTACCGGTAATCGAAGGAGATTCGCCGTATGATTAAGCCGACTCATCGACTATTCTGCTACCCCATCTTCACCAGATTCCAATCACGCATAAACGAATATTATAAAAATGAAATTTAATTAATCAAAGTCTCTTCGCATTGATTTTGTATAACCTTTCATTCTTTTTCGCTGAAGTCGTTTTCTATGTGCTTCATGTATTCTGTGAATGAAAAGTTCGGAGGTTAGTAACTTACATTTATTTCTCCATATTTCACTTATAAGGTATAATGCACATATCTATATATTTTGAGTTGAAATATATAATTAAAAATACAGCATATATTACAACTTTATCATACCATGAAAGATTTCTATGCACTCTCCGAAAAGCACTCTACCATTCACTCATGAAGCTAAGGAAGAGGAATGCACTCAGTGTCACATTGCTGATTACCTGAAGGTTACCAGTTTGATTTCTATAGCTTTCCCGACCAAATGTAATAATGGCGGGCTATTGCTTCATTAAACGAGGAGTAACAATACCCATTCACACAAGTGCCCCTTTTAGCACACTTGCCCCACTTTATCCACTGTTCTCAGTTGGGGTAGATATAGCCTATATTAGGGGAAATGGTTAAAGTGAACATATGAAGTCTACAATTAATGGTAACAGATTTTTATGCATAATTTCTAATACTTGAACAATCTGTAATAATGTAGAAGCATACTTATTCATATCATGCAATTTCTCATGTTCCAAAATTTTTTTCGGATCTGGTGGTTTTTGCAATTCGAAAAGAACTTCTTTTATTTGGTCGAGACAATTTTTAACATTCACTGACTGATATCGACTTTCATCAGAGAAAACAATCAACTCTCCTGTGCTAGTGATTCTTTTCTTGTACTGTAAGATAATTTAATTGAATTTGTAAGAAATTTTATTATCAGTGAAAATAAAAAAAAAAGGTAAATAGGTACAAGAAAGAGTCTTTTTATGAGGTCCACACACACCTTTGCTATAAACATATAAACAGTTAGATGTATATATATGAACACGAAGGCTAAACGAGGTAGTACGAGTATGCAATCTGTCACGGTAGACTACCAGTACCTCAGCGATCACGATTTCGCCCGACCTCCAGGAACGAGTTCGCGAAAGTGTCATGAAAATGTGTTGTCATGGATAAAAATAAAACAGCAGAATTTTAGGTGAAAATTTAGAAATGAATAAAAGTAATAGCGACAACATCTTTAACCTCTGAAAATTTCGAAGCAATCGGTCCAGTTATCAAAGAAAAAAGCGATTTTTTCACAAGAAGAAAAAGAAGGGGAAAAATACTGACAAGTAAAACAACAACAACATAATAACAAAACGATCCATAGGTCCACTTCGTGTCCAATAAAGCAGAATGGTTTAAAAAGGGTTTTAGTTGAAGTTAAAGAAAATGTTAGCAACTAATTGTTGGTTGAATAAAATGGTGTTTATCGGACACTAGACTATTTTGAGAGGTATTAGACACACATTTGTTTTGCACAAATCTTTAATAGTACAAGGTTTCGGGACCTTGTACCTAGCCCCCAGGGGTCCACGGTGTGATTCTCTAGTCTAACGGCTATGAGAGAAGGATTCACTAAGTACCATTCGCCATGACTACACTTATTTGAATTGAAGTGACATTGATTTCTTCAATTCTTTGACTGCATTCTTTTTTTTTTGCTTACGCTAGTTGGCTTTTTTATTATTATTATTAGATGATCGAGCATGAAACGACTGGTGGAAACGTGTTGAGAGCAAGAATAAGTATTTTCATTGAAAAACAATAAGTCAGGAAGTATTTGAAAGTGTGGGTGATCGGATCAAGAACCACTGTATTGGTAGTACCGGTATCTAAACACCATGAGCTAGTAAACTTAAAAAACCTGAATCATTCTGGTTATTTATTATTTTTATGCATGGCAGAATAATAGATTTATAAAAAAGCTACAAAAAATAATAAAAACCTTTTCCAAAATTTTAGGCTTCAAATCGTCAGGTATCCAATCTGCGGATGATACATGAAATCGAACTTCCGCTTTACTGTTAACTAGAATATAAAGAAATATAAATTGGTACAAGTGATCTCCAGTACAGATACAGTATTGTCATAATATAAATGAAGAATGAATGAATGATGAACTATTTCATTGTAATCAAAAATCACATTTTACAAATATGTGGCATGCTCGAGCATATATCATGAATATGGATGGCTATACTATATTCATTTCACATTCTGTTTAATGCAAGCTCCCTCTTGCATAACATGATTTATTTCCTTCACTCAAGATCAATATGAAAGCCTTTTGTATATGATTTCAGCAATTGTACCTATCCGAAATCAGAACACACTACTGAATACTTCACACCAATGACATGTACTGGGTAATGTTAAACTGCTGAGATTGCAAACTAAATCAGCACCTTAAGCCTGTAGGATGACATGATTGAAAATGTAAAGCAAAATATGTGATATTGCAAGAATGCAAAGGTGTTTCCTTTGCAGTAGTTTGAAATTTAATGAAATGTAATATTACCTTTATTTACATTTTGACCTCCAGGACCAGAAGATCTTGAATATTTTACAGAAAGTTTATCTAAAAACAAGACATAAATACTAATATTATATAAACTCTCACTCCCATTATAATCAACATAATAGGCCTAAATAGTGTTACATTCGCTAACAAATTTTCAAACTAATTTCCAGTCTTATATTCATCCAGTTGAATTATTAAAAAATGTTAATAACATAAAATAAAGAAACAGAAAAAAGCAAAACTGTAAATATTTATCAAGTTAGATGATTGATTACCTATTGGAATATTTCCTGTAAATTTATCTGGTGGCGAGTCAATTGAAAAGTCCTGAAAGGGAAAAAAACAATAAGCAATCGAATATAGTTAAGTTAACTATTTAGAATAATGATTTTTTAATTGTTTTGTAATTTTTATACCTTTATGTATGTTTATGCAGGCAACATACCCTAGTCCTGTAGGCTATATTACACACCCAATCTGCACATTAAAATGGCAATTTATCTGTGCATGGAACTATGTATGACTAGCAGTACGATCTGTCTGGTTTGTAATTGAATATCAGAACACAGAAATACAATTCTGGAATAAAATTCATAAATTCTCACCTGAGGTAGCCCACCATAGTTATATGGACTATTCGGATACAAATTTTCCAAATGATAAATACTTTTATAAGTCCCTGCCCTGGTAGTAGTCCAATACGACCGATAAAGCAGCAAATTTCTAATGCATGGAAGCATTATGCAGCAGAAATAACAAAACACAGAACTAGCGAGAGACGAATAAATTCAACATGTCAAACAAATAAATGGATTGTTTCGACCTTTGACCCATCGGGGATTTCAATTTCCAAGTTGACTGAAAAAGTAGGAATCTTTGAGTCATATTCATCGCGAGGAATAAGAAAGCTGATAAGACGCCCTGCATCAAGAGACAGCGAGACAACCTGCAAGAGAGAATTTGCATCAAGAGCATAAGAATGCGAAAGTTGAATTAAGATAGCGTACTGGAGACAATGTATATCCAAATCACTAATCGGTAGTTCATTGTCCACCATACTAAAATACACTTTATGAATTAACAATGCAAAAAGAAATGGAATGCTATTTCAGGGCGAATAGAAGTGCGAGAAACCAATACTGGTCATCGAGCAGCGACAAATTGTGCTCGAAGGTTTTGTATCACACTTGTAGGGACCTATTATTGTACGTATATGGGTGAAAAACAGTACGTGGAATAATTTTGGACTGTACCCATTCAACCTGCCATTCAATTTTTATTTGACATGTTGGTAAAAGCAATATCAGTTTTGCAAGTACATTAAAAGAAATCTTAGGAGATTGTCACAGAAGTCCCGGGCAATGTGTTCCGAATTTTATGGGCCAATGACATGTCATTGTATGGACCAGCTTGTGTTCAACGTCATGTATTTGCAATATCATAATGATTTATGGACTGTGCTACTGTAGCACTATGTTAGAAACTGTGTAACATTTGCTGTTTTGTTTGAAACCTAAATATGTGTACACCACGTGACATGATCTTTCGCTTTAGTTTTGAAGACAATGTAGGACCTAGAGCAGGGGTGGGCGAGCCCATTTATTCGGCACGCGAGCGAGGCCTCGGAAACGAGATCATTTTCTTTCAGATAAAAAGTTTCGAGGCTCTGATTTATCTGATGAAACTCGGTGTTTGTTTATTCATTATCGTTTGTTAACAATCTGTTATTCATTTTAAACTTTTTTGTCTTTTTATGACATATGGCTACAAAGAAATATATTATGGCGTAACAACTGAGTTACCTCTTTGACGAATTGTGACGAGACACAGCATTCATTGGGGGTTCATTGTTACGTAATATATAGTCTGTGCCACCATTTTTCTTCATCTCTGATTGATTTAAGAAGTTGTACAGCTCATTTTGGTGGGAGTTACTTGCTAACTTACTGAAATAAATTGATTTCGAAAGAAATACAAGTCATTATGGAAGGGAATACAAGAGAGAAGTGCAGAAAACGAACTATCGCGTGATTGGGAAGCCATTCCCGAGAATTTTTCGTGTCTCAAAAACTTTGCAACTGCAACTGCAACTTTTTTTCAATGTAAATCTCTATCAGCAGTAATGCAGCAGCAGAAGTCTCATTTATATAGAACAAGAGAGCTATGCTCAAATATATGGACACGTAGAGTCACATAATTTTGATGACGTCATAGCGAAAAAAAAAGTAATAGCCTTCTGGAGAAAATTTTTATCTTTAACCACTGAAAATTTCAAAGCAATTGGTCCAGTATTCGAAGAGAAAAGCGACTTTTTAAAAACGTGTCAAAGAACAAGAACAACAACAACAACAACATAATATTGAAACGATCGTTATGTCCACTACGTGTCCAATAAGAAAAGTAATCAAATCTATTTGTCGGACTGATATTTCCCCGAATAGTGAATCTGTCTGTAGCTTACATGTTTGGAAGGTTTATTATTGTGTATTTTTGCTTTAAAAGTAACAAAGCATTGTTTTTAATTTTGGTCGGCACGCGGAAAAATTATGTCGTTAAATTTAGCTGATTTGGGCACGCGAACCGAAAAAGGTTGCCCACTCCTGACCTAGAGTGCCCAGGATAACACATTGTCCGCATTTTCACTTTGTTGTTTGTATTTCCAGTGCTCCCGAGTGTTTATCATTGGCATGTATTATCATATTACTCACAAGCTTATATCGTCACTTCGCGGCCAGCCACGTTGGATCTCAAAATTCTAAACGTATATGCTATGGTTTCTACAAGCAAACATATCAATACTTGTCAGCTATCAAATAGTTTAGTGCAGTGTCAAGAATCTGTCATTTTAAACGCAATCATATCGCAATAAATTTTTCTTTATTGTGCATACGGCAAACAAAGGCCAATTGGAGTCAATTTGAGAAAAACGCTCAACACCTCGATTTGGGCCCATATGCCTTGTGAACTCAATCCCCTTCAAAAATTCATCTCAATAGATTTCGACGCATACAGTATATAAGGTGCACTTTTTCAAAGATCAAAATTAAGAAAAATCGCTTTTTGGCACCTAAAGCTTTGTAATTCGGTGACCGTACATTTGAACCCATGCGTATATCCACGGGTTCAATCTATATGCGGGTGCTAAAACCCATGGGTTAGGGTTAGTATGGGTTTAACTATCCGTGAAACAAAAAAAATTCCATAGGTGCAATAGCATACAGGTGCAATTGTCATGGGTTCAAATGTACGTGGGTTCAAATGTAATGGAACCTTGTAATTCATCTATATACTAAATCGGATAATAACCGTATTTTCAGAAACCTGAACCACTCCTTTGCATTGATTCATGCAAAATGCGTGAACCGACGGAGCTAAAATCTAAGAAGCACCCTCAAACCGAAAAAATACACCACCTGGGACAAGACAAAAACATCTTTCTAACCTTTTGTAACTTGAATATATCGGCCGACGAAGCCGTCGCACAAACCCGATAAAAAGAGAAACAAAAAGGACTGGTGTTGACAAAGTTATTAGATTTTTTAGTCGAAATTTCGACTAAAGCTTCGAGAAGTCCGAAACCACTAAATTCGGATAGTAGAATTTTCCGATTTTAACGCCACGAAATAACGTCCGATTCTACAGTCGCAAACTCGTACATCAGAAATCGCGCGCGCAAAGACAAAACTCTCAAACTGAATCTATGAAGGCATACCCAGCTAAAAGGATTCAGTCGGAAACAAAAAACAATCGGTGGTGAAAGAATTTATATTTCTTCAATTATTTGAGAGAGAAAGGAACAAACAGTTTTGCGTCTTACAAAATTCGGTATTGATTTAACAAAAAAAAAATACGCCAATGCCTTGCTCTTGATGGAGTATTATACTTTGTGGCGTCATAAATAACTACGTCATGAGTTTGAGGGGATGATAATGATGACCGTGTTTCCCCGAAACTAAGACCTAGCCTAAATTTTAAAAAATGATTTTAATATAAGCCTGCTCTTAAAATAAGACCTAGTCGATGACGCGATTTTTTTTTTGACTTCTGACTTTTGAGTCGATAGCAAAAAAACTCTTCTACACGTTTTTAAACGATTAATAGCCTCTGTTTTATGTTGTTCATAAGTAAATGGATATCGGTTTTCGTATTTTGTATATTTGAAAATCTCGTAATTCACTACTTTGTAATTTTGTTTTTGATAAATGAAAATATAAGACATCATCCGAAAATTAGCCCTAGTGTTATTCCTTGGAAGAAAATTGAAATAAGACCCAGACTTATTTTCGGGGGAACACGGTATATAACAGGGACGAATTGTTCTTCTCATTATTAGGTATCAACGTAAAAATATAGATATAACTAAAAAAATGAAACTAGTATGAAGATTTTTCGAGTAGTTTAAAATTGTTCGACCAATCAGCGATGACAATATTATCACGTGATACAGAATGAAATCACAAATAACATTTCGGTTTTTGCATGCGGTATAAAATGAAACACTGTGTAAAAGATGACGAACGAAAAAATGAGATATCCGAATACACGAGTACATAAAAATAATAATATAACATAAACGACGATAATAAATTTTGTTACGCTTGGCCAACCATAATACATACACCCCTCGTTAGCCAATCATAACAAAGAACGCCAAGCCTAAATTTTGAGCAGTAACATAATACGTCCGGCCATACATGAAACTTTATCCGAAAAAGTTCAACTATAGACCATGCATGTTCTTGATATTTAATTCGAATATGTATTTACATTTGGAAAAATTAAAATATGATAAGTGATAGGATGTAAGAATATAATAAATGGATTGCCCTGGATCCCTTCCTAATGGCTATTCAGTGTATACGTCACAATTACGAATGGTTGAGTGGCAGGTATTTCACTGAAATATCTGATTGACAAATTTGTTTCTTTCTAGAGGACTATAACACAGCAATGAGAAGATGTGAGTAAAAAATTGAGTGATTATCGAAAAAATAAACGGAAGATTCTTTGACTATGAAATGAAACAGGCAAATTTTTGAGAAGTTGGGATTTGTAACAGCTTCTATATACAGGCACAACAATCTCTACTTAGTATATACTTGTGTATTGAAGATTGAAGGCATTGCCTATCTTTGAATACTATTCAGAAATGATTCTTCAAGCGTCTACATCTGGGATGTGGAAGCAGAATTTAGCATATTTTCACTGGAGTTGAAGCCGGAGTAGTATTCTCTAACTCATCAGAGTTTTAGACTCTCAATGGTGACGAAGGAAAACATCAAAATTCTCCACAGAAACTCAAAACGCTTAAAAAACGCATCCGAAGACTTCCAGCTGAATCAATGAACGAACAATCGACGATGGTGAAAATAAACATCCATTATGTGTAAATACGAGAATTAATAATAAACAATTCTTCGGATGTGAGAAATGTAAAAAACGTAAATTGAATTCGGACTATAAAGAAAAGAATATACATCATGATTCTGTTTTTTAGGGCGGAGCGGCCGGCCTGTCCATTCAGTTCGTCAGCTTGAATATTCAAAGCCAACCAGAGGCAGCATTTTCTTCAAATTTTGCTTTCTGCTAGATGGTGCGAGCCGCCGTTTTTAGCTGAATGTGCCATAGCGGCTTTAGCTTTAGCATTCATTTGTACGCTCTGGCCATTAGCGTTTGGCATGGCCTTATGAGGAGCTGAATTCGCAACAACGGGGGCCGTTTTTGAAGTATTATTAGCAGGAGACACTTTCGGGGTATGATTAGCGGGGGTAGCAGTTGCTTGACTTGATCTTGGACTCGCATTTGCCGTTTTTTGAAATCGCAGACTCCCCACTGGTGAAGGAGTTGGTGTTACCATGTCGATGACTGTGCCGTTTGTCTCCTGTTTTGAGGGATCACTCTTGATAGTTTCAAGTCGACGTTGCCTGTATGCTTCATAATGAACCTGGGCCGTGACGTCTTTCAGGTCTTGTAGATGGGTTCTGTAAGTAATACTCATATTAATTTTGATAAAAGAGACAAAAGGGAAATTGTCTTACTCTTGTGAAGTCAGTTTTGAAAATCAAGTCTCCATCAAACCCAAAAAATTCCATACCTAATAATCATATTTCGTAAATATGAAAACTCGCAATGGTTCTCATTCTCAACTTCAATCAATCCAAAATTTGTTTTTCTTCCAAGGACGTTTTTCCCGTTGACGTTATACGAATCAGTTGCGCCAACGACCGCAAAGGGAAGTTTCTTCTGTAGACGGAAAAGGGAAATACGTTGTTAACATGTATACCCGACACTAGGTGGAGATAATGAGACGGAAAACAAGCGAATGACGAGTAGCGAAAAAGGCGGGAAAAATTCAGAGTTCCTCAACCCAGGGATTGTGAAGTCGGAGTTTGACATATTTTCACTGGAGTCGAAGCCGTAATTTCTAACTCCTCGGAGTCGTAATTTCGGGCGTGTAGTGGTGATAAAAGATGCCAAAATTTTCTACAAAAACTTGAAAAGCATTAAATTTACGGAACAAGACTTGTGTACGTCAAAGCTTTTGTTATAAAAATCCGATTTTCGCGGAGTTCGGAGTTGGAGTCAAAATTTTTGTTTACCCGGAGTCGGACATAAAAATTTTCAAATCGGAGTCGATTTTAAATTTTCTTAATTCCACAAGTCCTGGTTAAGTCAAATAATTTTATTTTTGTTGGTGTTAGAGCAAGTCGGAATTTCGGAATTGTAAAAGTCGTGACTCAGAACCAAAATTTCATCCTCCAACGCCAAGGTTTGATAGTCAAAAAGTTATTAAGATGTCGGGAGCCAGGTTTTTGAATGATCAGGAATCGAACGAAACTTATCTGTGATTCTCCGAAAAAGTTTGAGATAAATATTGAAAGATTACCCTGAGCCATTTGTTATTTTCTGCTTCTTCGTCGTCTAAGTCTTCATGTTGGTCGTTTGGAAATACCTCAATGTTGTTCTGTTTCAACTCATCTTGAATCTAAAATAAGATGGAACATAATTATCAAATGGGCCCAGCTGGTGATAATAATAGTACAGTACTATAACAGAGTCTCAGCTAAAATTAAAGTCAATGATAGGCGTAGGCAAAGCCAATAAAATAACAATAATATGAAAATCGATCTCTCGGAAATGCGGATTTTGGAGGCGTGGCCAATTTTTTTTTCTTCGTTATATTTCCTCACTTCAGATGACGAAATTCAAGGTCTTCACAATCGTACTCTATCTTCAACCATATATAATGAATACTTTCGCGAGATTAGGCAGTATATTAAATGCTTATAGGGCGGAAGCAGTCGGCGTTTCCTTTTATTTCCGGTCTGCACAATGCAATGTGGTAACTATAAAATATCCCACGCGCATAATAAAGTGTTCCCAAACATGTAAACTAGATTTGACGCCAGGTTCTAATATATCAAATATTTAGTCAAAAGCAGTGAGGAACATTGAAATACCTGAATAAACTTGCGTAGGACCTATCAAAATAACTCGAAGATTAAAAATCCACAGGAACCTTGAATTTACTCAAAATGTTTTTAGTTAGTAATTGACTAATCTATTTATGATGAGCTCTGAATAGCGCAATTTCGTGGCTTTATGGAACTCATTTGACTATGGACAAAGCAAAAATCATAGTTCAAGTATGGTCATATATAAATGCGTTCTATTTATTCATGTACCATATCTGTCAATGTAGTAACATATTGAGAATGATAGAATTTCAATGGTGCGTTTTCACTTACAAAATCCCACTTAACATTTTGACAAAATCTCTTCTATTTTGTCCAAATTCTTATTGAAAACAATTCCAGTGGTTTATAGTTACAAAACAAACTCGTCGTTCTGTCCAAAATAAGGGTGGTTGTTATTTTTGTCATTTTATTATTGTACCCGGGTGGATTATACTTGAAAGGATTACTGTACGACTATAGAAATACGATACTACACCTATACTGTGTATATACAACCACGAAAAATTTTTAGAATCAGAACTTTTCATTATATTACATGTCCATTCCCATTTAAACGATAAAAAAAACTGTACAAATTCAATCAATTATAATTTAAAGTTCGAGCATAGCTCACCATTATTTGAAGATTTTCATTCATAATTTTGAAAACTAAATTACTGATTGAACGCTATTGAGCTATTATTGCGGTAGAACTGCTGTTATATCTGTCTTCATTAGCGATATTTTGAGGTTTAAATGGGGAAAGATTGTGCAAAATTTTTCAGGAGAACGGTGATTTGTTTTGCCTAATTTGTGCTTTAAATAGAGAACTGATTAGGTACCCACTGCAGGAGAGAATATGACATCATAGAAACACGTTTTTCGAAACAACACGATTATTACAAAACAATGGCATACGATTTTATCCAATCGATGGGCGCACAAATTACAAGTCAACCACGGAAGTAACTATGAAACCAGATTTTTTTTAATAAAAAAATCTTTAATAAACGATCCCATGGATTATTACCGCATAATGAATGGGTCGAAACGGGTCAAAATGATTGATTTCATTTTACGAACGATTACGAGTTGACAAATATTTTCACTAAAGCTGAAAACTGAGGCTTTTATATATGCACGCTTTCTTCAATTGTATGTTGAGAATGTCTAGTCAGCTTTGTTCTTCAGTTTATGTCGGGAATTCTGGCCGAAGAATATAAACTTTTCATGCCAATAAAAACATAAGAACTAGAACTAGATGTGAAGAATCTTGTACGGAGAACGCCTTTTTGAAAAAACGGTTCATGGCATCAACTATCAACCAATGAATAATTGTAAAATTATTTTTCAATACCATGCTATGCAAAACGAAATACAACACTCTGCATTTGCAGCACCTGACGGCAATTGTGCACTTTAAAGTTTAAATTAGCATCTTTCGTGTTTGCGGAATATTTTCAAAACCCTCATGTGTACTTTTGATGGCCTCGATAGTGCAAAATGCGGGTCAATGGTACTTGAAATGTTGTACGATTAGTAATAGTACCAGTGGAAACAACAATGCGTTTACCGTGTTTGATCGTGTTGTTTTAGAACTGATTTAATCCGAGTTTATTATCATTTTCGCTTGGAACAAGGTACTTGACAAGTATACATGTGCCTTGCACTAAAAACGCATAGGCTATATGTGCCACTAACGGCCCATTTTCGTCCCTTTAAATTACATTATGCTCGGTTCAAGCATGGCCATTACAAAAATCCTAATAAATCAAATAGGTGAAAAAAAATTAATTTATTATGATAACCAAATGACGATCAAAGTGAGATAGACAGTATCAAATTTCAATTCGAAATTAAATTTAAATTGCTAAATGCCTTGTGCTATAAATTACTGAATGCGACATAATTGAGTATGCCCCAGAGATAAAATCGACTTATTCCAAGTCTATTTTTATCAGATTTTGAAGACAATGATTCGATTTGAATAATGACATAAACCTATTGCGACTCCCTAATTCTTCCAAAATAAGCCAATTTCATAATTCTTACAAAAATTTCAAAACTGCAGAATCGCGCACAGATTTTAAAAATCATTCCACGCGGAAAAATATCATAATGGTATTATAAACAAATTGCCACAACCCTGATTCACCGAAAAAATAAAAGCTAATTCAAAATTTCGTACAAAGAACATACCATTGTAGAAACGAGAACATTGTAATTGAAAAATCATTCCACGCGAAAAAATTCCATACGTATAAAATGCTATATAATTTACTGCGTTCTACTAACTGTATTAAACCATTTTCTTCGCCGTCTGTCGTGAGCGTGTTCAATGATGTAATACACAAAAGGATTGCGGGTTTGGAACGCTCATTGATTGATTATGGAACCGGTATCGCGGACGCTCATTGTGACAATGGTAATGCATTTGTGTTAAAGCAAATAGAAACCTTTGTGACAAATATATAAGAGGATAATTCTTTTGTGAGCAATCAAAAGTCGATTATTTTCTAATCAAATAATGGATTTCTAAATCAAATCACTATGGTAAATCAATCATGCTCATAACTTAGTTTAATCATAATTTTAAAATGCAAGAAGTTCACATTCAAAATAAGGATCGATAAATTTACTGTTTTAAGTAAGTTTTGCCATTATCTCGTCAAAATTTAGATTTACATGAAATTTTACGATAATATGTTAGATAACGGACAACTTAGACTTACTTAGAACATCGATATGGAAATGAGTTACGAAGAAAGTTTTAGAATTCCCATCGTTTAGATGTGCAAAACCATGTATCATATATAAATTTTGGTTCTCATAATCATGTTAACCATTATAATGTATTATTATAGTAATCTAATTAAGCATTCTTTGGTGAGTACTTTTTCAAAAAACTCGTCAAATAATTAAAAAATAGTCCCACCCATTGTTTTCTTGTGTTATAGGTCTAAGAAGCTTTAATTAATAATATACATTCGTTGACGAATACCATTGTCACGTGTCCCTAGAGCAGAGAAATAAATGCCCCAGGGACAATTGCGAACAAGTTGTATTTTATTATATCGCTATTCTTTATGTGTATATAGTATATACATATTCTATAGGCAAATGTAAATCCTATATTCAATATTAGATATATCTTTAACGCATAAACTAATGCATGTAATTTGATATTTTGTTGGATGAAAATAGACTAAATAAACATTGGTTTTATCAGTTTGTAAAAGAGGTCACAAAACACTAATACAATATAGTAAATGGTATAATCTGTCAAAAATAACACTGATATAGTAATTCTTGTGAATGCCTCGTGGCGGAATACAATCGTCGTATTAATAAAATCTGGTGAAGGCGTCAAAAAATTCAGATTTACGAATTTCAAAAAAATGATATTTTCAAATACCTGTTTGCACATTTTCTAAAAAAGTATTGCAGAAATTGAACGTAACGTATACCATCCACACTGAACCACACATTTATTTTATATATTTGGGTAATTTTTAGCATTCATTTCAACAGTATCAACAATGCGTATGGTTTTCACTGTCCAGTTATTTAAATATTGGATAATTTAGTGTCTTGTGTCAAAAAAATCTAATTTTGTCATTCTAGTTGTTCTTGATATAATGTATAGTGTCTGCACGTTAAAATGTGATTGTTCAGAATGTTTGAGATAGACATTGTTTTGAATAAATATTCTCGTTTTATGAAGTAATTAAACTAAGTTTATTTTTGTTCAACAATCGGATGTAGAATTTTTAATATGACAAATTCTCAATGAAAATATCTGAAATCATTCCTGAAATTAAAGTTCAACTTAATCTCAAACCAAATTAGAACGTTTAAAACGAAAAGTCATTCATTTACTACAGTTTAGCGAACTCCCGAGGCATTTATTGCAATATGGAATAATTTATATTTCCGATTTCTTTAAATTTAACTTCAAATTACTAAGTTTTATACACCAAACTAACAAATATATATACTACAATACTACACCATAAGAATCACACAAAACGTCACATCAACATTTAAATCTAAAACAGGTTTAACCTTCGCATGTGTGCAGTGCCATCGAAACAAATAATCCCAGATTTTGTTACAAAGGCATATCTTTACGAAACACGGATTACGGAGGATTATCTCGCTGCCTAGTTCGCAATTTCAAAGACGATTATGAGATGGAAAAGCTTGAATTTGAAAAACGTGATTCGTACAGTATAAACAGTATGTTATTGATGATAGACCTGGAATGGCGAAAGACGAATGAGATCTTCCAATAGCCATTGAAATCTCATTGTAAAATAACATTTTCAAACTGTCAACTCTTATACAATGGGCATTGCGATGTGCAATTATTTTGGCTTGCGGGCCACATTGTCGTCGTAGAAGTTAGCTGAGGACATTATTTTTTTGCGAGTGCATTGATATATTATTCTGATCAATTTGCGATTTAAATTCGCTATAATATTAAAAATCAACAGCTATCAGTCAAACATTTATTGCACCTCATCATTTCCACAATTTTTTAATAATCAGTCATATTGCTTGATGATATTTCAATTTGATTCAAATTTTCAATGGCAGGAAGCACTCCCAAATTTTTAAATTGATAAAAAAAGGCCCTATTACAAAATATTAATAGTTGTAATAATGCTAAATTTTTCAATACTGTTTTACAAACACCGTAAAACAAGAACAATATTATATTATTACAATAAAATCCCATAATTCCAACATTCGAAATCATACTCCAAGTCTCCAACCAAGCATGGGCGAATGAAGTTGACCATGCTTGGTAAAGTTCAATAATACAAAAAGTCGACTTACTCATCGTCTTTAACTCCCTTGAGGGACTCTTATCCCCCCATGAGAATAGTATATCTATAATCAGTTTAGTATTCTTTGCATAACCTAATGGCTACAGCATAAACTAGTATTTATTGCCCACTTAAGCGCCGACAGTGCGTGACATCTGACCTCCGAAACATGTTTACTTTTATCTTACAGACATCGTCTTATGTAAACCATAACATCCGAGAAATAGTATACAAGTAAATTCAATACAGGAAAGGAAGCACGCACTTTTCAACAGTCTAATTCTTAATTCTAAGACGAGGCCAGAGTTGTAGTGCTTGGAGTCGTATTTTTAAATACACCGGAGTTACGAGTCGAGAGTCAAAATTGCAGACTTTCAACAGGGATAAAAAAAAAGTCAAAACCGGCTCTAAAATTTAAAAAGCATCAATTTTACTAATCGTTCTTAACAGTCTCTTACAGAAAGCTTGCAAGCACCAAAGTTATTAAATTTTGATTTTACCGGAGGTGGAGTCGAAATTTGTTACAATCCGGGGTCCGGAGTCGATTGCAAATTTTATCCGATTTCACAGTCCTAACCGAGACCAAGCATTTCAATTCCAAACGATGTTTTCAAAAATTTAAAATCTGAAAGCATTGTGAATTTAAATACGATTGTTGCTACCTTAGCGTATTCCCACATGCCGTCTATCCAGATGCAGTCTGAAGTACTATGCCCTTGTGAACCCGGATGTAACTAACTGCAAAGGTTGAAAAATCAAAGGACTTACGATTCTCTTAAATTTGTCTCTTTCTTCCAACGTCAAAGAATCTGCTTTAGCAATAACTGGAATCACGTTGACCACTTTTACGAGTCGTTTCATCGCTTCGATGTCAATTGGTCGCAATCTAAATTTTGAATGAAAATGAGTTAGGGTGCGTTTTCAGTGATCAGTTAATCAAAAGGCAACATAACTTTACAGTAAATCACTATTAAACTTCGAAGTACTGCAATTTCACTGGAGTCAGTGCCGCGGTATTTTTCTTTATAGAAATTCGAAAACAAATGAAGATAACGATAGATTCCAAGAGTTTATTAAAGAAAATTGGCATACGCTAAGATGTTTATTATTAAAACTTGAATTTTCAGAGATTCATAAGATAAAGTTGGTATTTCTATCAACCGGAGTCGGAGTCGGAAGGTCGACTGCAAATTTTACTCAAATCCACAGCCTACCCTACTAACTACTCCGGAAATGTTTTGAATTCAATGCTCACTTTTTTTCTCAAATTTGAATTTCCAAATATACACCTGCGCGAGTGTTTCATATACAAACATAACATATTAATGGGGCAATACACAATTTGGTCTCTTAGTCATCGGTCACCCACTAACAAGAAAAAATCGCATTCGCTTGTATGTGCATCGTACATAACAAACCATATCCATCCACCGAGTGCCACATCCTTCCTAGCAAAAGGGTCAGATTTCTTTTCATATTAAATTTTGATGGAATGACGCATTCCGGATTGCTGGCTTTCATTCAACCTTCAATCGGTCTAATCTTAGAAATCGATACTAATGTCTGGTGGGTAGGATATATATAGCAGTAAAATTCGTGTGCCAGCCATGCTTTAATGCTTACAACTGCAGCATTGAACAAAAATTGCAGTTGATTCAACAAATAGGGCGGAATAAAATAGAACATTTTTTTTATTTGAATCAAATGCTGTTGTTTATTTAATCGAACCGAATAAACGAAACATTTTTTTTATTTGAATCAAATGCTGTTGTTTATTTAATCGAACCGAATAAACGAAACATTTTTTTTATTTGAATCAAATGCTGTTGTTTATTCAATCGAACCGAATAAACGAATATTATTGCACGCTTGCTTGATGAAAAACGATTATCGGCGATGGTGATAGAAATTTTTTCCGTCGTATATGTTTTGTATTACTACGGTTCGATTATTCGAAAACGATTTGAATAATTAATTTGCGATTCGATTTCATTTCGAATATGCGACTCCCCTAGTCACAAATTCATTTCAAGAATCGCCTGAAAACACCTATAAGTAGTACGCATCAATCATAACAGGTTACAATTGCGCAATTTTTTTGAACGGATAAATTCATGAAACATTCGAAATATTTATCATCTATAATAATTCAACGAGTCCATACGCAAATAGTCAAAAACTTCGTGCATTTCGTAAACGCCCACGGATTCTTTCGCATCAATTTGGTTTGAATATTTAAATTTGAACCTAAAATTGAAATTCCAGTAGTTTTGATGCCTATTTTGTGGCTTTAATACATCATAATTACAATAGAAATTTGTAAGTGAGCATCATACATCTAAATTAACGTACATTCCTGATATGCAGACTTACGGCTAGACATTGAAATTCGAGATTGAAGTAAAAGTGTGAATGGCCAAGTGATGAATCTCACCAAAAAGCAAGAATTCGACGAAATAACTTGAAGGCAATTTTTATGGTAAAGCGTGAAATTGAAGGCGGTTTAATAACAATGAAAAAAAGAGAGTACTAACAAATAAAATATGACTGACGCTAAATTCAATATGGAAATTATTTTAACATTTTCTAAAAGTAAAAAAAAAAAACTATAATTTAAATGTCACAATGTCTTTGGATCGACAGCGTGAGGATAAGTGGACCATTGAATGGCAGGTTGCAATTGACGTCAAATATGACTCCACAACAAGGCTATAATGTAAAACGCATGTTTCGGAATTATCGAATTGGCACAATTATAGAATCTCGACGCGAACTTTTTTTCGTATTTATATAAAATTTAGATATTCATAGAGGATATTGCTAGCACTAAGTGATCATTTTTATCACTATTATCAAAGCTATAAAAAATGCATCGCGGACAGCGAATTACTCTATATAAAAAAAAGTCTGATTGGAACAGTAAAAAAGCAGCGAAGCGAATTGATTACCTAACACACAAGCCACGCCAGGTGCAAACTAATTTGAATACCACAAGTTGAAAGTAGTGAGTGACCACATCAAAATATCACTTGAAAAATGTTTATTCACCCAACTCAATGCTATAGCAAAATATCGATTTAGCGGAAGAAATCGCAACTGAAAATATCCGATTTTAACACTGTTTTGGGTTGTTACGATTTTCCTAGATTACTCATTGTAACACCAAATCTTTGTTCTAATTCTAGTCTAAACAAACAAGGAATCAAAATCCCCACGATGTTGCGTCAAGACACTCGTTGTTTCCATTAGGATTTTGAAGGGGAAACGGGTCGTTGATACTTGATAGTAAATGTGATTGTGGTATTTTGTCTGAATTCCGAGCCATAACCGTCATTTCTTACACTTGATTCTCATTGAACTTTTCCGTGTATAACAGCGTAACAAAAATTCACAAACAATGAGGTCTGGTTGAAATTTAGCTTTACTGTCTAGGATTAGGCCTAGTTTTGTGGGAATAAATATGTAACAAAGACATTCAACGTTTTCACATCTGGAATGAGTAGTTTTTATCTTCATAACCCAAATGGATTATTCGGACGAGAAGCCGTGGATTGCCAGTTGATTTAGGGGCTGTTATGTTTTCCTGGGCCCAAGGATGAATATTTACATTTCAAAATCTGAAAACGGAAGTGACGGTATATATAGTAATCCTTGATAAGCGACCATCGATGAATCAATGAAGCACAGAGAGATTGGAAACCGAAATTCCCTACCGTTCCAATTCCTAGTAACGGTTCATAATTGTCACCATTTGACCATGTGACAAAAAATAAGATCCATACGGGCTCGTATTTTACTTTCAAATTACTCCAAATAAACTGAGTAGCTATCTTTTATCGTTATGTGGGACGTGACCATTGAATAAGCCTTAGCCGGAGACATCACTCAACGAATGAGAATCGTCAACCTCCCACACTATTTGGCCATGTATTTAGCGTAGATTTCACAATAAGCGACGACAGAACTTATTATCAAGTTTAATTCCACATAAGGGCGTAATAAGTTCTTTTGAACAGTCATTTAAAGGGAAAGTGGTACTTCATAGCTGGCAATCGCGTTGCTTTGGTATGTGTATGTTACAAACGATAATAATAAGAAATAATGCACATTCTATCGCGTCCAAATATGGGCCGAGGTAAAACCCTAGCTGGGACCAAACATGGAATATTATAACTGTTCGTTGAGATTCCCTACTTTCCGATACGGGTGCTTTCAACCCATTTAAGATTAAAATTTGGAACGTGGTATGACGCATCAAAGACAGGCAGTCAGTAGCGATGTGATACAAATACTACTAATTACTGGTATTCAAATACAAAACACCCTTATCAAATATTGAATTAGATATAATAAATAGCAACACGCTTCATATTGTTGGAAGTAATTTATGCACACGGTGCTATTAGCATTCATTCACCACTCTGAAATGATTATATTTATGGTGAATACGACAGGCGTCGCTTTAAGATTTGTGAGCTTACGGGGATTAAGTAGTGTAATCGGCTGTAAAATTGTCGCTCGCGTCACCTATTATTGGTTAGTGTGTCGAATATGCGAGCAATTTCCGTTTCGTTACAAACTACTGGCCGATTGTAAACGATAATACAAAAATGCCTTTTAAACAGTGTTTATTGCATGATATAATTTCGGAATTCTACGCCTAAAGTTTGGCAGTCACATACGCAAGCTTGTCACCTAGTTGACCTACATCGTCTACAATTGCAGACGACAGCAAAGAGTGATACATGTCACGTGGTATTACGTCACATCACGAGTTTCCGGTAACGAACCAATGGAATCGCAGAGTTGAAGTTGGTGCAAATGGTTAATACACATTTTTGAACGTCCACAATGGCGAAATTTATAGTGGAATGTTTGAACTTCACTAGTTAATGGTAATTATAAGAATAGGAAATAAGATGCAAACTCGGGTATTGTTTTCAATACATATTACGTCAATAATATTCTGTATTATTACAGACAGAATTATAAATATGGTATTAAATTACTCCAGACAGAGATAGCGGAAAACACCTCTTCCGTAATGCAAAATATTGAATTATTCATGAAAATTTCCTTTTTCAATTCTTAGTCGATCCATTTCAGTTACATTTCAAATCAAGGAAACCAGGAAATTTATTGACATTGAACAAATCCGTTCTGAAATTTGACAAATGTTTTAGTCAATACAACGAATTTCATTTACAATTGAGGGGGTCAAATGCGTTCATCTGATAATTATTAATATCCAAAACACACAACTTTTCAAAAAAAAAATATTCTAAATTGCATCAAAAATATATATATGAATATTAAATTTATATCATGATCTTAATGGGTTCCAAATAATGATTTTGAACGGAGTGATAACTATTTTGTACAAATGTTTCAAAATTTTGATAATTTTATGTTGTGGTATCTTGAATGAGAAAAATTCTTGAATCAATTTTCAATCGTGCCAATATTACCACTTCAAATGCTTATTTCATCTACCGGTATTTGTCAAAATTTATCCTAATAATCTATCCTAATTCCAGTAGATTCAAATCCAAATTATTTCTGAACACTTTGTTCCAAATCGAATCCAACTCGCAATAGGTTTACATGCAAAAGTACTTCCCTAGTCTTTTAAATTTCATCCGGAGTATATGCAGTTGTAAAATAAAAGATCAATTTTTCTTTCCGACTTTATTCCTAAGTAACCAATTTACATACGATTGCATTACGGTATATCAATTTCAAGTGTAGTGTACTAAACACCCTCGGGTTGCATTCAATTTTCTACGATATTTCGTTAAATATACGCCAGTGAAAAACTTCCTTATTATGGTGCGAATTATCGTTGACCCATGTTCGATCTATTACGCATCAATAAAATCAATTTCACGGTCATTACCCGCTAATATAACGAGCACTCTTTGAAGGTAACTTGTGAATACCGTGTAATTATGGCGCATTTTGCCTGAGCGATAACATACGCAGCTGATAAAATAATAACGTTATTTTCGGTTTTGACGTATTATTGAATAAAATCTACCTTTGATGTATAGATTAACCTAATTTTGAAAGTTGGGAGTGGAAGTCTCATTACAATGTTTTGCAGTCCCAATTTTGTGTAAAATTGTACTCGAGACTTATACAGAGCAAGAAAAAAAAATTCTCCTAGAAAACAAAGCATTGAGAATATGTGATAGTTTATTCAGACCAGACACAAAATAGGTTTGTGATAACCTGTAGCAAGACTCCTACCTAAAACACTAAACTATACTTACAATGTTATGTTGTGGACAATATCCATTTCTGACAAGCGAACAATGCTAGGATGGTGAATCTACTATTCAATTCATGTCCTCTCCGCGAGGAGGCCATTTGAATGTCGATTGGGGCCATATTATAGCCATTCCTACACCTAACTAGGGCTTTTTCCCTAATACACTTAAATACATCAGGACCACATTACGACAGCACTGAATGTTGCGTGATGGACATGATATTATTCATGTTTTCCGTCATTTTCTTGTGTCGATTTCGTTATATAAGAGTCATTAAAAATAGTGGTGCTCCCGAAGTATGCGAACCAAGATGGCGGACATCGGAACGTAACATGGGTAACAGGTTAGGCAATAATTTTTTTCCAATTTTCCCTATTTTAGTCTTATTATCAGTTCGAAGACTAGCCAAGAGCCTCCCGTAGTATTTATACCTAAAATTATGGCCTAACCCTAACCTAGTACACATATTACATTCCGATGTCCGCCATCTTGGTTCGCATACTTCGGGAGCCCCAAAATAGGTGTACTGGGCTTTCGTGCACATTAGTTTTGGGGCCTCAAGAAATTGTCACCTCCAATTCCAACCACCTTTTTCGTATCCCGCTATATTAGCTTTTGAAAATGCCACACAGAGCTACATTTCTACACAACACCTATTTACTACGTTTTTACTCCGAAAATTTTCCGCCAAATATAACACAATCATACCGTGACCGCCAAACGCTTTAACGACAACACTAAACAATCCATATAAGCAAATGTCGCCCGCGAAATGAAATGTATGCGTGGCCATTCACGGAATGCCAATGGAGATTCACAGATAGGGACCCCTTAAAAGTGATTTATGTATAATTCATATTTGGATCGTGGTAGTCATTTTATTCACTTACGAGTGTCCAGTTGGGGCAATGAAGTATAGGCAGCAGTGCACTCTTGTATCTGGGATTCTCTTTCTTCTCTTGATCGAGATTTCCTCGTTTAGATATGTTTCGTATTGCTCGTTGATGTACTTCGTAATGGGGGTCCAGCTGTCGAAAATAAAATCTTTTTTAGGGGGAAGTTTCAACGAAAACGAACATTATATCTAGGGTTTCTCAAACCCCCAGGGGCCATAGAACTGTAGGGGGGTTCACACGGAACCACTCTACGATGACTATATTTATTTGAAGTAAATAGACTGTGCTTTGTTTAATTCTTTAACTGTGATGCCAAGGGCCTGTAAGGGGGCCACAAGTGTTTGTAGTCTTGGAAGACCACTAGTCATGTCTATTTTATTAGTCTCACCAAACCATGATAGCTACACCAGGCTAATGTAAAAAATAACTTATTGGATTCCACTGAAATAATGTCGAAACCTCATGTCTACCACAATGACGTTATATTACGTTATCATATAATTTGACGTGCCGATATGATAGCGTGAATTCCATACATTAGAATTATTTAATAACCATAATAATGAACAACCAAACAATATTATCAATTTTATTTACAAAATTAATTGCCCATTTATGTTTATTATACAACAGAAACTAAATTAAAAAATTTACACAATTTTAATCGATATTATATTAGGAAATAATTATGTCGTCTCCCGTCTTCATTATATGATTGTTGGGATTTCCAGACTGATTTATTAATGACAACGCGGAATTGGTTTCAATATCTGCTGCCAGAACAGTGCTAGACGAGACTACAGAAGTTTTGTACTCTACCTTGGCAGCATGTTCAATCAACGAATCAAGCTAGGCCGAACAAAAAATGACGTACCGAAAATACTGTTATATGCTCAATAAATGGGACCAATTGAATATGACATCGTACTAAATTGTTTGATAAATGGGAACAAATGAATATGGCATCGTACTAATCAACTGACTGCACGATATTATAACACTCAGACAGGGTTCAATGCATGAAATTGAACGAACGTAATATGAAGTCATTTCTCTGAAAGAACCGGATGGACAAATGTACAGTACACGAATTGGTGGATGTAATAGGTTCAATGGGGATTGAGACATCGGGACTTTCGATATGAAAACATAACTCGATTCATGACGCAGACTGAAAAATCCTAATTTCGCTACATTTTTGGAGTAAAAATTGATACTTATATCAGTCAATGCAGATATAAAATATATCCGAAATAGTTCAAAAACCCAGGAAGGTCATTTTAAAAATTTTACAGAACGAATCGACGTAAATAATAACATAAATCACGGAGGAATTCTATGTAAATCAACTTACCAGTTATTATTATTTATATGGTCTCCAAACCCCGGCGTGTCTGTGACTGTTAACTTTAAACGAATACCTTTCTCTTCGATATCTATCAATGGAAAAATATTATATTATAATAATACCGGAATGGGACGTTACATATCATACTCATCAGAACAAGTGACCAAAAAAAACAGAATCCCAATCATTTGAAACATATTATAGGGGAATTTAAAATTCGTGTGAAGGGTCCTAAATTACCGAAGTATTTTGGTACAATCATACAAAAACAAAAGTTCAAGTGTTAAATGAATTTTCTTCATTTTAGTAAAACTACTAGATATACCAGTCCTACATGAATTGTATAGATATATTCGCTTACCGTGACTTATTGATTTGATTTCAATAGTTTTTGGACAGAAATAATCTTCTTTATTAAAAGTTCGTCGACTAACTTTTGACTGGAACAAAGTGTTGATCATCGTTGACTTTCCCAAGCCAGATTGACCTAAAAATAAGATTCTGTTTACATAGCGGAAAGATTATGCACAAAGAAATTGTAGAACTACATGTTCAATTCTGACTGAATAAATCAGGGCTGTGTATCAGGAATTGGGCATGTTTTCTCTGGAGTCGAAAGTCGTATTTTCAGACTCCTCATACTCATAAGTCGGAGTCGGGAGTATGATTTCTCCGGGGTTGAGCGTCGAAATTTCAGGCTTTCGGAGGTGATAAAATAGTCAGAATTTACAAAGAAACTCCTGTGCTTGTAGTGTACAGTACTGCATTCTTCCTGTTTTAAAACACACAACAGGCGCTGCATGAAACTGGCTTATGGCAATTTTTGGGGTATTTCATTGAATTCACTTAAAATCAGACGCGATCGACTACGGGAGATGTGGCGATCGACCGGTCGAACGCGATCGACGTATTGGCCACCCCTGTTATATTGAATAGCCTACGCAAGATAATTTACAAGACGACAAATCGGGATGTTAACGGATGTTGGGTCAGATTGTAAGAACCAAGTGTTTACAGATAGGCCACCCAATTGCAAATGACGTAATTTATGTTCCATACAAACAATCATCAGTAGTGTACCAATTTGTCAAGATTATGGTCTGAAAACACGCAAACGAAAATGATGAATGGGTGGTCACGTGATTTGTTGCGGATGAATACGCGGGCAGCAAATATTTTTTTTGCTCCTAATAATCATTACTAACGCAAATGGAACATGAAGACACTCTGTAATAAATATGGTTTATAATTTTAACTACGAAACAACAGAATAGTAAATACTCCGAATGTGTCGTCATTAATTTGTAGCCTACTAAAAATACGATGACGTGAATACACGGTTTTCACGGTGTTCAAATTAGTTGGGGATTTTCTCGCTTTATCTACGCCGGCGGCGATATTTCGAGTTTATTTGTCTTAGTGATGTGATATTTTATATTTTATTTCTAACAAGGATTTATTGAAATTTAGCAAACGACGTCCAATTATGTGTAAAAACCCACTCATGGCCTGGATGAATGTAAATAGAGAATTTGAAATATATTTTCGTCTGTGATTTATCTATTTTGTTTTAGTGCTTAAACGTATTTCAATGCGACGTTAATGTGTTATAAAAAAAAAGAAAATTGAAGGAAAAGGCCATAATCACATTATTGAAAAACGCACTGTGATTAGCGAAATTATGGTAGATTTATTGTTGAATTACTCTAATCAAAGCATTCCCTGAGAACAATCAAGACTGTTTACTTTAACATTATTCTTTAGTTTTTGTTGACTGCAATTTCAGCCGGAAATCGCGACTTGAGGTAAAACGTTTAATTGCGACTTTGGTGCACGGGTAATAGGTAGTTTCAGGTGTACATTTAACACAAGATAGGAAGTGATATTCATCAAATGCATGATAGGAATCCCAAATTTACATTCAGTTTAACCACGCTATAATATGGAATTTAGAAATTTGACTTTGACTCGGGGGTGTTCATAAAAACACCACTCCGGATCCGAGACGTTTGTAAATACGACTCCGGTCTCGACTCCAGTTATATCGTGCCAAACCGCCTGCTTATTCGGATGAGCTTCGTACTAATTGCCTTCATCGTCACGACGGAAATTTGGCGGGGGCGGACAAATGAAATACGAACCCATTAGTATGAATGTTAAAAATGTAAATCATTCAGCACTTTAAGTTTAGCGCGCCACGGTTCCAAAGTCAACCTCAAAGCGTCAAAAATACATTTAGTTGATTTTTTGACCCGAGAACGTGGCTTATCAGGTGAAATTGTTGTCAAAACACGTTTTAGGGGATTTGCTAATATTTTCGTCTGATATCAGAGTGTTGCTGAAACTCGACACTAGCAAATATGCAGCACATATGAACTTATCAAAAATTGTCGGACATATCACCATTTCAAGCACGGTGGATAGTCTTTCAATAGACAAGTTTAGAAAGTTTAAAATGGCCTTCAGATAGTCACGTACAAATTTGTTTAAAATAGAACTGGAGCGTTTTGTCGGATGTTTCTGTCTACGCTATGGTTGTGATATTCGAATGAGAAATGGTTGACACTTTAGGACCGATAAAAGGGCAATTATGTAGTCAACTACGACCTTGTTATTGGCATTTTTGTGATAGTGAATTGGAGTAATACCCATCTTCACCTGAAATCAATAAAAATGCTATAGCTATCAGAATAATATCGAGCCATTTCAGGATAAACGAATTGTTTCCTAGAAAATACTACTGCATAACATTGAATTTTTTGCTTTTTTAATGGTCATTTACTGTTCATTTTCCTTCATAATCAATACTCAATAGTATGACTATGTCTCAATTCGCGACGGTACATGCAAGGCAAATGATCAATTTACAAAAATCAAGTTACGGTACATCTCCGTGTGTTCGCAAGATGCGTGTAGTCATATTAGTTTCCTGTGTTAATATACTGCATCCAAGGTGAAAATCGAGATAAAACGAATATAGTATATCCCTCCACTATCACAGACCATGGAAAAAAATGAAAACGAAATAGTACAGGTAGGACAGGTTCTGCAGTTGGTACCAATCGGGCTATTTCATAAACCAAGAAGACGTGTATAACCGTGTTTGACGAGAAACACTTTTTGACCAAAAATACATTCGTAACCATTACAAAGCAGAGAACATGTCAAAAAGGTATCTGCTAATGTGGATAGAAGAGATTCACAAAGTTCATTTTCGGTGTGTATTTTACGCCCGGATAAATTTTTCCACGCTTGACTAAAAAGATGGTTTCAACTGGATAATTATGAGAGAATCACGACCATACCAAACCACGCTCGATCCATAATCATATATATTATGTTACTGTAAATAGTTTTGCCAAAATCCTCTCAGTATTATTTTTTTACTGCGCAAGTATCCGACTGTCCCGTGGGAACGAGTGAAGACGTCTACCGTCTCTAAGACTAATAAACACTTGAATAAAATAACATCGCCAAATTGCGGTATACCCGTTGGAGTGAAATGACGAAGCACCACCACCACATTCGAAATGTAAAGCCTAACTGAGTATATTAATATTTTTTTTATCATATAATAGGACCGTGCCAATTTGCTATGTTACTGGTTTATTGTCTGGGAATAGGATTTAATTGGACAGGTTTAACAATAATGAATGGGGACATATTTTTTTTTCAACAATACGCCCCACGTAGTCTAAATCGACTTGCCAACAGACTTGTTTAGAGCAGAGCAAGTAAAGTTGAGCACGTTGGCTTTCTAAGATTTTTTTGCTATCCGACCAAGGCGAGCATATTATACAGGTTAGCTGAAAGATTACTTTTTACTCCGTGGTGAAATAAAATGTAGTAAACAGTCATGATTTTTGATAATGCATAAGCTTACTTACCTACAACCATGACGTTAAACTCAAATCCTTGTCTGAGAGCTTTCTTACGAATTTGCTCCGTTAATGTATCGATTCCTATGTATCCTTCAAGCAGTGTCATCTTGGTGATTCTGTTTATAGTCCGTACTGTACGGTACCGTATCCCTTCTTGGTAAATTCAATGCGTATTGCTTCAGTCAAGCCAACTTATATCCAACACAGATCGCCCCCACAAGATATAAAACGTAATTTCACTGTAATCCAATAGTAAAAATTCTCTAATTTTATTCTCAGATACCAGAAAATTACAATACAGAACGTTACAACACCGCTATCAGAACTAAGCTTTAATCCCGCCAAACGCCGCAGCTGCAAAAGAGCAAAAGAGAAATGTATTATTACACGCATGATAGTAGACGATTATTACGTCATCATTTTTAAATCTTCAACTATGTAGAATTGATAACTAATAATTTGATATGGACATATCCCTGCTGTTTTTTTTTTTGTAAAATTCAGCTTTGTCGCTACTAAAATACACTACGGATTCGCTTCATATACTTTCAGCACCTAAATTTCGACCTTCACGAGTGAACCAAGGAAAAGGGCTGTAACGTGTTCTTTTCACTCATTCAATATTTGCTTTTCCGAGTCAAATACCCCACATCAGTAAATTTCGACACTTAAATTATAATAAATCACTAATGCTACGTTAGTTTGTATCAAGTTTCTTACCTGCTACACTACGCAGATTATATTGTATTATGCAAACTTTGCCTGTTGCCAGATCACTCGCCGATTAAAACCAGAAACAAATACTTTAGCAGTTTGTAACGGACTGAAAGAAAACAAATAAACATCTAACCGGTTGGTCTGCCTCGAAGCTGTCAGATACTGCTAACTGATTTTCAATATCCTGGCAGCCGTTCTTGTTGATGCATTGTTTTGCATACTAGTTCTGACTAATATGCAGCGCGTATTTACACTTACAACTGTTTGTAGCCTACATAGCAAAAAAAATGCTGTATGCAACGCTTGCTCACAAGGCTGAAGCGTACATGTCGATTCTGGATCATTCACCAATAACTTATAATAAACCTAATGACTAATGATAGCCTAATGATTATTCAGCATGCGTCACGCTTTCGAAAGTAGTGCGTAAAACTGCAATCGTGCAATGTTTACTACCTGCCTGAGCTGTGTTGGTAAAATATCCAAAATGCGTACCATGTTGGTTGAAAAGAAATGTTCTCAATGACGTGGTATGAAATAAAATAGTGTGATTATAAGGTTATCATCGAGTGTGTATTTATAATGCATCTAGTATGCACAAAGTTAGTATCAGGCATTAAATGATCATCTTACAAAATCATAAAAGTATGGGCATACAACATCGATTAACGACGAAACAGGACATGAGTTCTTTTCTATTGCAAAACAAACAAAGCAATTGAATGAACGAGTTGTTATGACTCAAAAGTGATGGCTTGAATTGCAAGGTTTATAAATAACTCAAGCACCAATCACAGTTTAACCAAAAGTTATTGATCCCACTGTCATTTAGCATTTTTTTTTAGAAGTTGCTACGGTCAATTTCGTGCAGTATAGACAAAATGTGTCATCCATCACATTTGCAAGGTTCTGTACCTAAAATGGCATTAGGCATACGAACACAAAAATATAATAAGCAACTTCAGCTCAAATTTCACGATTGAAGGAATATGCAAATACTTCACAACATAAATTCAACACATTAATATTGTACTCACTTTAAACAATCTGAAATGAACTAACATTTCCCCTACTATGGCGTGATTACAATGCATGGCACCAACTAAAAGCGAGTGAAACGACAGCTATTCGTTACGCTTTAATCAGGGATTGCTATTACCAAATGCGAGCAAATTAATTTTCTATTGCGCATATTTGCAAATGTTTATACACAATGCGTCTGCTTGTGGATATTTACAATTCGGCCATATTTCCAATTTATTTCACACGGGCTGGTATAACTAACCAATAAAACTGAAATCGAACGCAATGCTTTCAATGTTATGAGAAAACAACCACATACGGCGTCGTTAATAAAGTTTACTTTTGTTCAATTTAACCACTAAATTGTACACAAGGCCACCCGAGTGTATTGTGACTATACCATTAATATTGTAAGAAATGTGTAACATTTATTTGCATCTTTGGGTATAATACTGAAAAGGTACTTTTGCGAGAAAAACTTGAAATAAATAGGATATAGTGATATGTTCTATAATAGGATAGAAAGTCGAATTCGTGGTAAATAGCTGTTTCCGGCTAGGGACAGAGACCCAATAATACTGTCAACATTGTCGTGTGAGCGTGTCACAATTACTTTAACAATCCTACACTTTCGGTTTTCCAATTGGATTTGTACTTGTCTGTAAAATAATGCATTTACAACCAAACACAAACATCACAATATGCTTCGAAACTCTTATTGTATAGACTTGGTGGTGTCGTTTAAAAAACAATATATAAAAGTTGTCGATTCGGAGCAATAAAAGTCGTTTACCCAATACGACTACTGTAAAACGAAAAAGTAATTCACGATACGTGCTGGATGACAACGTATACGAATTAGTTTTTATTACTTCACTATCAGCGGATTTACCTATGTGCAATTATTAAAACATTTCTCTCGATTTGCTATAACCTTTCCGAAAGCAAATACTAAAAACCTATCAAAACTCAAACACTGTAACGATATCAAATAGCAATAAAATAAATCCTAGCAGCGATATATAAACCTCGTCTTAAATATCAGACTTGCAAGTGAGCTGCCAATATAATCTTCCATATGAAAACTTTCTTTTTAAAGATAGTCACGTTTACTGGTTGTTGGCTAACAGGACGCAGATACCATTGAGTCACTTCTATCCGCTATTAAATTAGTAAGACCACTATTATATACTTAAAATACCGACTTGACATCATACTTCGTCCATACTTCGCCCAGAGATAACTCATCAATTTCAGATTTGCCTTTTATATGGCCCAAACGTGAAACGAACTGAGGTATGACTAAGACATGTAATGTTTACCGTTTTGTTCCAAAACGCTTGCTTGCTGAAGATAGCCATATACGAATGGACGCGTATACAGCATGGTTATTCTATTAGGGTTTCACAAAGTCTTATTAAGTAGAATATGAATGCTTTAAAACTACAGGAACGGTAAGACCATGCAAAGGAGTAGATGCATGTCAGATTTTACATATCCCAATATCTGGCTAACTTATTGATTTCGATTAATTAGCTATATTGTTGTAAAACAACACTTTACCAAATTCTTGAAATCTTGACTTTCAATCATGGTATAATCAATGAACAGCACTAAAAAAGTATCCAACAACAAAATCTCGTGAAAATAATATATTTGCATTCGTTTTAGTGTCAATAAATTCGCAGCATCACCAATCACCAAAACAAAATAAGCTTGAAACAACTTCTAACGCAAAACATTCAATCAAACTCCCATGTCAATCTCCTGAACGGAAAATACTTCAACAAATTCCTGATACTTATAACAACCTACCAAACACACAACACTTACATCGACGACTATGTTACTATAATTTCGACCTAACTAGGAAAGTAATCGACTGTACAACAAGCGTTCCTACCCAGTAATTAAATGCCAATTAGCAATTTGAAACTATGTTTTATACCTTGGCAGAAACCCGCTAGTTACCGTTGTCAAATATTTTTCAGGAACCAGAATTTTTATAGTCGTTGTTCAACCTAGAAATATGGTTTCAACTAAAATCGGCAACATTTCTTGACAGTGGCAAAATCACCATTTGTTCATCGTTTTGAGATGAAAAATTGCACAAAAATAAGCCTTTTTGTCGAGGACAATGACAAATCAACTTTTTAGCACAATAAATAAAAAAAAAGTAAGTTTGACATTTACACCGGTAATGTCTACGGCGATGGAAATTTGCTACCCACCCAAGCTTGGAACGCACATAATAATCAATAAAATAAACAACCATCAATAGGACTTAATAATTATTGGCATTGGCACATATATGGACAAGTATAATACAAAATATCAAAGCAGAAATCCCCAAATGTTTAATCCAAAGTCCGAACACTAAAATTAGTCTTTTCCAAATGGTGTTCCACGAAATAACTGACAAACACAATTTGTGCAATCGGTATTGATTAGCTCTCTACCAAAACAAAGATACTGACAAATCCATGCATTATTTAATTTAGTCGATTTCAGCGCTCTATTTTAAACCTGTTTAATAGTTAATAGCATAAGGGAAATAAAAATCTATACTATCCTTAGAAGGCGTTTTAAATTCCATCTTTAAATTCCATTTTTGGTCATTTTTTTAACCTTCGAAATAATGCATGCTCATGATATCATCGTCACAAGATTTTGTACGTTCTTCAGACAAAAAATCAATTTAAAAAAATTTCAATTCGCAGCCATAATTCACTTTTAACTAATTATGAATATTTCTTATAAAATAACAAATACGTACGTTCAGTTTTTAAAAGAAATGAGGCCACAATATCATATTGTGTTTACAATTCCTGAGACACTGTCGCTAAAATACTCAATGTAACATTACACCACTAGTAACTGTTGCAAAGAATACTAGCGCATATAATGTTTCAAGAAAACGACTTACTCTGTGAAAATCCCAACATAATACAAAATACGAGCAAGTATGCTGACATCTATATTATTTCAAAACAACTGTTGTTGGTATACTCGTGAATTCAAAAGCGCAAGGCAACGTGTTCTTCTTATACAAATGATAAAGTTTTATCTCTAATATTTCTCCCCGACGTTTATGTCTCAATATACTCACAATTGGGCATAAAAAAGCAACAAATTTTGAAGTAATTATCTCTTAATTCTGTGACGTCCTCAAATATGATGTCATGTATTTATCCCCTCCTCAAAATAAAATCCTTGATTCAAAAACGCGATTGGCGGGAATTATCAACGATTTTGTCTCGACACTTCAATTTTGAATCTTGTAAACTACCCATCAACTTTTAATATCCATCCGTGCACTATTCTAACTTGGAGCACCTGATCGATCTTTCACGCACTCCTAACGTACCAGCAAACCAATAAATCTTCCGAGATAGTAAGACATTCCATTTTTAACGATTGACATATCGACACTTCGTACAATCGTAAAATTAATTCTGACAAATTATTATTACCAACGTTTTAAATCTAATTTCTATAGTAAATGATATGACGTCGAAAAGAGGGATAACCGGTAATTAGAAACATCATTTTTTAATCGGTCATTAATGTCTTTACAGTAGTAAATTTGTGAAATCAATAATGAAGTTTGCTTT